CCACAGTCCCCACCATCACACACCCAAAAATACTAGGAATCACATTCGACCCAAAACTAAACTTCAATACCCACATCCATAACACACATGACAAGGCAACCAAAACAATAAAAATTCTAAAATCTCTCACATCAACAAACTGGGGAAAACAAAAAGAAGTCCTACTCACCACCTACAAAACCATAACACAACCTATAATAGAATACGGCAGCACCATCTGGTCCCCCAGCTTAGCACAAACTCACACAAACAATCCAAAACACAGCACTCCGCATTGCAACAGGCTGTACAGCTGATACTAACCAAAGCCACCGACACACAGAAACAAAAACGCTTCCAATAGACCAGCACCTCAGACTCCATGCATCCCAACTCAGACTAAAAGCTCAAGCACCAACCCACCCACTTCACACTCATACTCAACCTTACAACCCACCCAGACTTATGAAACAAACAGTTTTCACAAACAGAAACTATACCACTAACATACTCGTAGAACCAGATCAAGCCACAACAGAAACACTAAATAGATGCAAGAAACAAATCCACACTACAATCACAACTAACTACATAGACAATCTACCAAACAATGCTGTACTTTCGGCACCAGCACCAGCCATAGACGCTTCAGAAACCCAATTACCCAGGCACACACGCCAAGCACTAGCACAACTCTGTACAAACAAGTCCCCCCTACTACACCAATACCTACACAAGATAGATCCAGCCACACATCCGTCCCCTCTTTGTCCACTCTGTCTCAGACATGAACACAACACCTGCCACCTGTTCGGCTGCTCGGAGCTGGTCATGCCCTTGTCGCCCCTGGTTTTGTGGGACTCTCCCATCGAGGCGGCGGGGCTGCTGGCGTGCTGGGGAGAGAGGTTGGGCTGGCCACAGGAATGGGTGTAGGCCCCGTCCCGCACTTGTCGCGGGATGGGGAGGGCAAACAACAACAACAACAACATGAGAACTTGAACAGTATTAACATAACATAGTGATGTCGGCGCTAAAGAGTAGGCCTGATGTGGCCTGTCGCCGATTCTTGAACTTTTTGTGCCTTGTTCACAGACCTAAAATCGCGGCATTTGACCGGATCTTTTCAAGACTGACAATAGTTTGAAATAGCTACTAAACTTCCACCGTGTTCGATATGGTGCTAGGCTTTCAAGTCTGAATATATATTTTTCCATAGCTTTATCTAGTCTGTTCTTGAACGCGTTCATACTCGGAGTACCAACGATGTAATCAGGGAGGCTGTTCCACATGTCGGTGGTTCGAAGCGAGAAGAAATGTTGTCGCGTGGACAAGTTGCAGGTAGTTTTTTTTTAGTTTATAGCCATGGCCTCTGGTGTTGGTTCTTGTTTCAAATTCTAGTAATCCTTCGGGGGCCTTGTATAAACCATGATTATACTTGTATACTTTAATGAGGTCCCCACGCAGACGTCGATAACTGAGGCTTGGAAGCTTCATAATCTTTAATCTTTCTTCATAGGACTTGCCCTTCAAGCCTGGAATTATCCTTGTTGCATGTCTTTGAACATTCTCTATTAAATTGTTGTCCTTTTCAAATCTTGGTGACCACACAACATCTCCCAACTCCAGATTCGGGCGCACGAAAGCAACAAACACCTGCTTCATCGCTTCTGCATCTAGGAACTCGTAAGCCTGTTGTCTTGTGCGGATAAAAAAAAATGCAGGAGTCTACGCCCTACGGGACGGGGAGTTCTGTTCCAACCGTTGAGGCAAGAGGTTCCTTGTGCCGAGCTCCCGTGACAGTAGCCGGCTTCGGCCGGCTGCTACGTCATCTTTCTTGAACTATCTTTCTCGAACTTTGAAAATGCCGTGCTGTCCCGCTCCGAGGCGTTGAGCCGGCGGATGCCATGATACGACCAGCTAAAGTGAAGTTTAACTTCTGAACACCTATAAATGCTCCCAACATCTACTACCAAATTTTGTTACAAAGATTTTATGATGCCTCCATGTGTGGTTAGTACCCCTGGGTTCATGGTTAGTGCCCCCAGGTGAGTGGTTGGTGCCCCCAGGTGAGTGGGTAGTGCCCCCAGGTGAGTGGTTAGTGCCCCCAGGTGAGTGGTTAGTGCCCCCAGGTGAGTGGTTAGTGCCCCCAGGTGAGTGGTTAGTGCCCCCAGAGCCCTGGAGTGGGACTCTCTGCCCTGGAGTGGGACTCTCTGCCCTGGTGTGGGGCTCTCTGCCCTGGAGTGGGACTCTCTGCCCTGGAGTGGGACCCTCTGCCATGGCGTGGGACTCTCCACCCCGGTGTGGTCTCCACTTTGGCGGCCCCATTCTGTAGTCATTCAGCCTTCGAGAAACATTGGACAACTCTTCAGAACACCTAAATTCCTAGCTGAAAATAAAGTTCCCTAAATTTTAAAACTGTCCTGTCATGGGGCCACATTGAACTAGTCTTCAGAGGCTCCCAGAAACTTTGATTAAAGAAGAAGAGTCTACGGGACAAGCACGCTGCTGCTGCTAGCGGGACAAGCACCCTGCCGGCCTGCTAAGCCCTGCTTGTTGTGGAGCGCACGGCCCTCATGATCACAGCAGGTGAAAACACAATACTAGCATCAATTATGAATCATAATTCAATTGTGGTCTGTCAAGCTATTGAGAAGACAATCTAGCAAGCAATTTGTGAACAGGCTATATTTAATTGATGATCTGGAATGAGAAAAATACAAGGGATTAGGGAGAAATTCATGAGAGAAGGAATGGCAACTCAATTACACAGAGCAAAAAGCCATTCTCTTGCAATGTAAGCTGTGAAGTGAGAAACTTTATGCCAGAAATCAAAGTTTTTACTGAATTGCTGAAACTGGTAAATGAGACAAAAATACCCCTGCTGCTACAGTGCTATTTGCATTCTATTTAATCCATTAGCCATTCCTATAGCACATGTTAAAGTTCTTTTATTAAAATTAAGAAAAAAGCCTAATTTTTTACCTGTGAAGTGCAAATCAAACTAAAAAATTGGGCAGCAGCCACATGAGAATCAGACAAAAAAGGCCTGAGAATCTGACCAAATTCACCTGTGCCTATGAGGCTATGAGCTATGGCCTTTCTCAACTTCATGAGCTATGACCTTTCTCAATGGCCTATTCTCATCCACAATATTCTAGATTGGATTTGGTTACCAAGCAACGAAATTTCAGATCATGAATGTCTGTAGTAGAAATAAAATTTTTAGCATGATTGATACAAAAATGCTTAGTACCGGTACATTTGAAAGAATTTTTTAATCAAATATACGGTAATTAATGCATTATATTTCCATAATTTTCTGCCTTATATTCAAATAAAGTTGAATATGATTATCATGTATAAAATTTTAAATTAATTGAGTCACAGGTATTTATTCATTTTGTCATTAAGGTTGTTTTCTTGCCTTTAAGGGGAGCATTTTGGTCACAAATAGAAAATTTTGGCATTTCTGGTTTCTAGCATCATTTTATTGGTCCAGAAATTGCGCATCTAAAGAGCCCAAAGCCATGTTTGTGCAATCATTTGTTTGTTCACCACAGCCATCTAAGCACAAGCAAAACATATAGTACCTTCAATGATCACAAATTTCAGTTAAATTTTCAATCTTAAAAACCTATCCCCTATGATTTTCAAGCTACAGCATTGAGAGATAAACCATTCGATTTATAAAGAAAAGATCTATAGAATGATTGTAGCTTTTTTCTATTTTTCATCATAGTTTAGATTATATTTTGCAAAGAGAGGGAGAGGGGATAAACCAAAAAACTGACAAAAAATCCCTCCCCCCCAACCCACAAAAATAAGAATTTAGAAAAAAGCTACAATGAATCTATGATATGGCCTATAGGTATGCATCAAATGATATGTATCTCTATGTTTTAGCTTGAAAATCCTAGGAGGAGATGAATTCTATGATGAATTGTATCTCCTTCATTTCAAATTTTCTTTCATTTTTCTCAACAAATTTACAGAAACAAAAAGTTGTAAAAGATTTTTGTTTTATACATGTGCACCACCAAGTTTCATAGTGATCCATCTTTAAGTAAGAAAGTTTTTTTTCTTTTGACCAAGAGCATGCCTTAAGAGTATGCTTTATAGAAAAATGTTGAATTTAATCTCTAAAAAAGAATACTGTTAATTTCAGCCCTTAGTAATTTATGATAACTAATTCAACAATTCAGGAAGATAAGAAAGGATTGACTATCAGAATCTGAACAAGCTTTATTTTAAGTTCAAAAGATAGATTCACAACTGGCTCGGCCATCCATGGCTAACCATAAACATTACACCTGCAGGTAGACAAACCCAAACTTGAGAAAATTGGGTAAATAATGTAGTTAGCTTACTAATATGTGATCAACAAAAAATTGGTGGAATTCACAATTTATAAACAGTATAGTCCCTATGGATCATCCAGTTTCAATAAATTGGCTGGGAGTGTGGTAAATGGTAATCAAGGTTCTGGCCAAGAATCAAACCTCACTTCTGACATCTTCGAGCTAAGGAGGAGTGTAGTGTCAGTGTGCCACCGCTGCTGAGCAGGAGAACATCTGAGCACCATGTACAGGGATCACTCTCATCAAGACACCACAATGTCAGACCCAGAGGAGAGTAGGACCGCGGCCGAGCAATGATGCTGCAGGTAGTATGTCTTCTAAGTTCTGAGAGCTGCTAGGCAAAAAGCCAGTGAAGCAGGAGTACCATCCAGTTACAGTGGTAGAGGAAATCTGAATATTCTTGCCACAGATTCTTCTTTAGATTTTGCTCGAGACCAGCCAGAAAAGCAGATTATAACTAATAACTTTAAATTGAATTCCACCAGATTTTTGTACATGCTTTTCTATTTGTAAATGGTCTTTACTTTTATTATATGTCTTGCAAGAATAATTTTTACTGTATTTGCTAAACTTTAGCATTTTGATTTCTTCTAATGCTTGGATTAAAAAATTTTAATGTGTAATGTATGCTTTCTGTTTATTTATAATCAGTTTACAGATTTATCTGCATGAATCAATTCTCTTCTTCCAACAGCCACAGAGACAAAATGAATAGTTAATATCCAATAAATGCTTCATTTATTAGTTGCAAAACATATTTGATTGAAATTCTTTTGTGCTGCCCTGAGGTTTGATTTTGATATTTTTATTTTGTGATATTATTAAAATGGAAGATCTACAGAAGTTTACAAGTGCTGCTATGGATTCAGTGCCAGAAAAGGAATCTGATGAACCATTTCTTTTAACAAAACTTGGGGTTCTGATGAGCACCAACTCTGAAATTGCTCGGGTGGGTTATATGCCTATCTATATTCCCATGCATGTGCTTCGTGCAGAGTGGAATTACAGTTATTGTAGTATATATATTCTATATATATTCAGCTTGGCTCCTTGATCATTTTCTAAATGTCAGCTAAATATGAAAGGAAAATCTCAATTAGGATCTAATTTAACATTTGCACTTGTTCAATTCAAACCTCATCCCCAAGAAATCCTGCCTGGTTTTATATTTTTATGCAGCATGTTAGTTAATTCTCTGCTACCTATAATGTTACTTTTATTTGATGTGGTTTAACTTCCTGCTTGGAAAAGGGGTGTGTTTTTTACAAATGATTTAAAACAACTGGTGACATTATTTTATTTAGTTCAATTATTTGTGTTAGATTAGTTTTTTACTCAACTTTTATTATGCTACTAAATTTGTAACTAAAAGTTAAAACATAAGTCCTATTTTATTTGTTGGTGTAACAAGTAGGCATGAACAAACTACTTGCTTCCTTACTACCAGTTTTAGAGGAAATTTAATGCCAAATATTTTTTCCAGGCCCTCCTGAGTGGGTTGTCAGCAGTGCAAGTGAGCCGCCTCCTGAGCACATGCCGCTTATGGCGTTCTGTTGGCCTCAAAGAACTTCAGCGACGAAAAAACTTTCATTTTATATCTTTGCCTTCTGATGCGCGCAGTTGCAAGGTAATTATTCTATACATTTTCCTGATTATGAACATTGCACCATAATTAGTAAACTTCAATTCCATGTAATAAACTGATTTTATGTGTAAAATTAATGCTGAATTGCATAAAGATATTTTCCACACACTAATGTTAAACTATAAATTAGGAAGCATAATTACTAGTGAATGTAAGTCAAATTTCAAATGATATTATAGTACTATATAGATAGTGTGATAACACTATCATAAATTTCCAGCAAATATATTTCTTTTCAAATTTTAACTTGAAATTGGCCGAATTTAGATTACACTTTATGATGTCCTGCTCTGCTTTTGCCTGGTTCAGTGGTGAGCACATAAATCTGGACAGTAGCATAAACTAAATGGTCACATGTATCAAAAAATAATTTCAAAAACAAACTACTCGACTGTGGGAGTTTATCAAACTTATATTTTAAACATTCATATAATCCAAGTTCTTTGCAGTGAAACGCTTGCTCAAATATGCAGTGTGTTTCTAGGGATGCTTCTGTGATCTATCACTCTGTGTGTTTCCTGTTGAAAGAAATACTACAGATGACTTTACTTGCAGCGTGGGGCATATTTCACCAGACTGGAGACTGACCTGTGGTCGTGGGCACAGCAGTGGAGATCAGTCCCTGGCTTCTGTCTGGTGCTGCATGACAAACAAAAGCATCATGCTGGTGAATTTTGTGAACTCGAATTATTGATTATAATTCATTCTATAGTAGGAAAATGTTGCTATGATTTATGCTGGTATGAGTATTTTCTGATACTTTCTTTATAGCAGGAATTTTGTAAATGTGTTTTATATTAATCATGAATGGCTAAGGGGAACTCAAGTATTGTTCTTGCATGTATATTCTGACTGAAAATCAGTCTCCGACATCTTTTTCAATTACCTTTGGAGAAATAAATCTAAATGATCTCGGGCCAAATGGCTGCAACAAATTTTGCAACATTCTAAATTTGGTGATGCCCTTTAAATTTCATTTTTTATATTTAGCCTTAATGAATCAATTTAACTGAAAATTAGTTTATATTTTTAGTGTAATGATGGAATGTATATATATTAATAGTAAACCTTCCCACAGGAGACATGCTGTCATATTGTAAACTTCTGCCGCCAGACTGTCCTGTTGTAGAAGTATTATGCGATGGTGGTGGCATCATTTATACAGAAGAAGTGATGGCACACTATCGAACTGTGAATCAAAATATATCGTTTTGTGATTCTCCCAAGTGCCCAAACTTGGCTTTTTCCTCGAACACTACGTTACTCCCTAAAATGATCAACACAGATGCTTGTACTATTAATAATAGTCAAGTTGCTGACAGTGAAGTTGGAACATCACATGGAATGAAGCGTACTCTTGCTGATCCTGATGGTTGTGCGTCACCTTCAATCAAGCTTCGAAGATCAGCAAGAATTAGTCAGTCTTTGGACAAAACATCTGCTGCCTTGGGAGGCTTATCGGAGCCACAGTCTTCAAATTCTGAAGTTAACTCTGATTTAAATACGAGTTTGGTGCAACCATTGCAGCAAGAGCAACTGAGAGCTCAGCAGGAGAAGGCCGGCTTAAATTGTGCTCTCTGCCGTAACATATTGAGGCACAATGTTGGTCCGAGCTTTGCACATTTTATAAATGACTACTTAAGTCCGAATGCTCAATTAACCATGATGTGCTTCCCAAACTTTCCTGGTGTCACTTTTCGTCCTTTGAAAACGACCAAGAAGCAACTGGTAAGTGACCTTTGATAAAACTCAGTTGAATACGAGCTTCTAACTGCTTAATATTCATACCTGAAAACCCCGCAAAAACTACTTTATTAATGATTACATTAATACTCAACGGTTCACCTATCGCCGTGCCAGGGTGTCACGGATTGTTCACAAATATTTATAAAATAATTCGAAGTTGAGAAATTTTTTCAACTTACCCCCGGTTCGGTTAGAAATTGAATGAAACGGTACTGTTTTTAATTATGTAAAATATTTTAATGAATTGTCTGTGAGTTTAAAATAGATTGTTCTAAATTCATTTTAAAGACCAAATTCCCCGATTTTATTCTTACCCAGTATTAATTTGACTTCGATTATGATGTAAGATTTTATTAATTGCCTTTCTTTATAAGATCTTTGATAAATATTATGGTGTAAGTCAACATAGTTTTGACTTACTTTTCGTCTTAGTTGTATCTGTCTTTTAGGTATAGGTTGTTATTGGCTTTGTTATATTCATTTTTAGTCGCCAAGCTGCTTGTTCTCATATCAGTTTTATTAAAGGTTAGTTTATAAGGATGTTTTTACTTTGGGCACTTTCTGTTCCCTATTGACTTATCTTGAATCATTATGTTATTGTTCTATTGAGAGTAATTTCGCCTATGTCGCCTGTGAAGCTTTTTAGCTTATATAGGCATTCACAAGGAAGCAATTTGTATTTTTTTCTTCAATTTTTTTATGGTCTTGTTATGTGTATTTTTGTGTGCTCCTCTATGAATAAAGAAAGAATAAAGAATTATACTATAAAAGTTGAACATACGCTTACAGAATGTTGGGAACACCAACACTGGCAACACAGATCAAACAAAGTTCTTTTGATTAGCTGGGGTTCAGCGCGAGCTTCATGATTAAAGCTCACAACATCTTCGGTGCAACGTTTGATAAGCATCTTTTGCTTTTGGTGTAGGAAGAGAAGACTTTGTAACATGGGATGGTTGCCTACAAATGGAAGATCGGGTCAGAGCCGTGTTGTTCTTTGAAGAGTCAAGTGTGAACTCCGTGCCTTACGTTCAGCAGCTTATCAAAAGGTGATCATGTTTGGCGGTTTTCACTTCATGCAAATTTTTTTGCATGAAGTTTTTTTTCAAAAGAATGAAGTTTTTTTTTCAAAATAGCTTCATGCGCTCTGCTCACGTTTATTTCACTGAGCAGAGAGCAAGGCAACGTGGCTGTGGTGGGAGGAAAATCTCATCAGGATCTCTATGCCATGCGGCACTCGGGGAAAGGTAAGCTATCATCCGTAAAATTTGCTTATTATGAATTTTATTCTGTAAGGTAGGTATATTGAGGGTTCTTTCAAATTGATGCCTATGGTGAAAACTGATATGATGGTTATAATCGTGTAAAGGCTGCAAGAATGCACTGCTATCTCTTCCGACGCGCATGCACCTAGTAAAGGCTCGTGTAAAGATCTATACTTTTTTCATTTTGCATGTGCAGTTGTCATTTAAAGTTATAATGTTTGCTCGTTCAGGTATCCTTGGCATGGCGGTTTGTGGTGAGAACGTGACGGCAGCAAGCGTTGTCATCTCCACGTCGGTGATGGAAGAGGAAATGACACGTCAAGCCATGTCTAAGGTGACGAGTGCTGCTCATGCACCTAAAAATATGCAATTTTTTAGGAGATTTTTCATGCAAGTTTGACTGAAAATATTGTATCTACGCATGTAGACCAAACACTGTTATTGCTATGCACCCTACACTCACGCACCCTACGCTAATGGTCATTTCAGTTTAAGAAAGCGTCTAGAAAAAATGTAGCATGAGAATATAATCGTAGGAGGTTGGGCTTCTTTTTGTTTATTTTAGCTTATTGAGCCCAGCATCATCATTCCATTCTGTAGCTGACATTATCAATGCCAGGTTGTTTGGAAATTTTAGGCCTTGCTTTACGTAAGGAGTTATCGGCTCTAACAAAACTCTAAGTTATATTTTCAAGGTAGAATAAATTCGAACAGTCACTATGACATTGATTTTTTTATTGAAATTTTGTATTTAAATCTTGAAGTGGATTCGGTAAATATTAATAAATTTTTGTGTATGCATCGAAAAAAACTACTAAGTCGGGTTAGTTTGACGGTATAGTCCCGTTCTGCTTATGCCATTGAACTCGCTCATATCTCATCAAAACGAGGCATGTTACCATGAAGTTATTATTTGAACTGAGGAGAATTTCTTGCTAGGTCTGCATGTGATGGATAGATATCAGGAATGTATGATGCATTACTGTTGTCAGTTGCTTATTCGTGTTATTTGCAGTTCCTGAAGTTCTATGATCCGAACAAGACCAGCGTTGCCTTCTTCATCACCTGCATTGGACGTATCGTGCGTTGAGTATCGTAAATCTTAATAAATATTTAGCGTTTGATTCTTTTCAGTTCGTGTTGTCCATGTTACGAGTCTTCGTTTCGTAATTTACTCGCATTTTAATTGCAATATTTTTTGTTCCCAAATAACTGTCCACAATTTCGGCATATGCTTTTGCTGCTAGAGTATATTTTATGACGCGCTAAATCTCATTCGCGTTAAACTGGCGCAATTGCTGCTGCCGGCATAATATAACACTGATTATGTCTGATAACTTACTGATATTGTTCATACGAAGACAAATGGGCGCTGAAGGCAGTTTTTTTGCCACTCATTTCTCGCAGTGGGAATTTACCTGTGATTGCTTGTCCATAGGAGGACCAAATGTGGTGCGGGCCTGCGTATGAGGTTAAGATGTTCAGAAAGATGTACCCTACTACCCCAGTGTTTGGTGCCTTCGTCTACGGCGAGACTTGCTTCGAGTTTCTGCCTCATCCTCCCGGTGAGAATTTATTTGCAATGTTTTTTTCCAATCAGTCTCAGTTATGCTTTGATTTTCAGTTATACTGGCAACAATTTGTGATAGACTCGGCGGCAATTGGCAAATTTAAATTTAATTTCTAAACTTGATTTGTTTCTTTGTTGCAGGCAGCGTCGAATGGCAATTACAGCAAGAAAAAAACAAAAAAATTTTGGCAATGTCAACTAATAGTCTATCAAATGTAATCGAGTGCAGCTATTCAACTTGCATTTTATTTCTGCAGTTCGAGTGACTGCAATAAAAGTAGCTGGCGACGTCCACATTTCCATTAACTTGGATGTTATATCCTGAAGCATCGGTTGGAGATTCGTTCCTAGAACTGAATAGATTCTTCGATGAAACTTCGTCAATTGAAAGGGAAGTTTGCTTTTGTTGAAATATTTAGGTTAAGTAAAATTTTTTCAAGCCAAAGCAGTCTTTTTTTTTCTTTTGGTAATCTTTTGATGGTTTACCTTATATCAGAAAATTTACATCTAGAAAGAGTTGCAATGATACGTCCAAAATCCCAATTTTGTTCTCTCAAAATAAAGGTTCATCGGCTACTGTTATCAAGGCCCAGATTATGCATGTTCATTTTAGGAAAGTATAGAAGTGCCCTCGTATTACAAACTGCAGAGGATTTGTAAATTTCTATATTTTACCGAATAACCTGGCAGGTAAATGTGCAATTTCAGATAATTAGGAATCTACCGTCTCCACCATAGTTGAACCATGGCTGCAATGCTATGCGAGTCCGCAGTTCAGTGCCACGCTTTTGCTCTGAGTCCATACTCCATACAGAACATTGTTGCACCACTACATGCAAGTTGCATCAAACCGTCTATATCTGTCCTGTAAAAGTTGCATGGGCATGGGTCTTCCCCGCGGCCCAACTTTTGCGAATATTTTTATGCGTTTTTACAAGGTTGCTTGCTTAGAGTTTGAAACAATATTCTATAACAGATACGTCGTTGACACCTAATTTTATTTTCAAGCATCCATCGTTCCCACTAATGTTAAACATTTATTAGATTATCCAAAATTGCAACATAATTCTATTGCATTTATAATGGAACTTTATGTAACAATAGTTTGTCCTTTCTTGACTGCAATATTACTAATTTATTACTAAGAATCAGTGCGGTGCGAACTTTCTCTAAAAGGAAAGGATAGAATTTTCATTGGGGTCCTTTAAATTATAGATCACCTAACGATTCCTCTGATAATGATGAAGTACTAAACGGACTTTTACCGAGCATGACTTTCAGCAGGTCGCATACGTTGATCTCTGGTAACTTTTACCATCCAGAAATAGACTGGGCATATGAATCCTTTCCAAGGGAAGGGAATCACCCAGCATCCCTGTTCTTGGAGTCTGTGCGAGACTTATTTTTAAATTTAATCCAGAACATAACCAAGCCAACTCATTTTAGTGGTAAACAGACCCCAAATATTCTAGAACGAGTGTTTACTAGTGAAGAATCAATGTTAGAGTTTCACCACGGGGCTCCGTTGGGCAAAAGCCACCACCAATCATTGTTTTTCAGTATTAAGTGTTATGCCGAAAAGACGCTTCAGAAGCGTGAACGTTTGAACTTTGCAAACGGCGACTATGTTAGACTATCTTGCTTTTAATGCGGCGAATATTTTGGACAATTAAGGACATGAGTGTGACTGATTCATGGTCATAAATTTCAAAGACACGGTTATGTCTGCAGTTGATGCCTATTTACCTAAGATTACGCTTGGAGGAGTCAAAAAGTCCCAGTGGATGAACAGTGCAGTTATAGCTCAGCTAAAGACCAAGAAGGAAGCATACAAGCGTTATTTACGAACTCGCAGCGATGCTGATTAAAACCTGTATGCAAGAGCTCGAAATCGGGTCGCCTGCCAAAGACCACCACTGCCCTGGATGTAATGGACCATCATGATTCCTGCCTTCCGGAACGTAGCCTTCAACACTTCAAGCCGTCCGTATCTAGGCCGTGCGTCGCACCAGCCCCCGGTCGAACGGCCACTTGTCGAAGGGAAGCCTACCGAAGACCACCACTGCCCTGGATGTAATGGACTATCATGACTCCTGCCCTCCGGAACGTAGCCTTCAACACTTCTGGAAAATCATATAGGCAGCTTGTCGAAGGACGATAAATTTTGGAACAGAACTATGCTATCTGAAACCTAACCTCAGATGCGGTGAACGTAAAATTACGTAATTTAACAATGCCCGGAAGTCATATTCGATCCACGGCCTGGTGGTGCACGGCAGGTGGTGGTCAAGGCCGGAAGAGGACAAAGCCGAGTGGTGCACGGCTGATTGGTGTAGGTCCGGAGAGATCCAAGGCGTTCGATTCAGGGCTTATTGGTGCACGAAATTGGTGGTGCACGGCTGCGCTCCCCTCGAAATCAACTGTATAGCTAAAAAAGTCGGCCGCATCGCAGTGAAAACTTTGAAAAAAATATATATATATTGCCAAAAATGCATAAAAGAACCCGAAAGCCGTCCTTTCGTACGCTAGTACGAAGTGTAAGACAAACGACGGTATTTCTGATTTGAAAGTAGACCAACGAAAAATATCCGCTGACGAGGGCAACGCTAACGTTCTTAATCAGTTCTTTAGCAATGCGTTCACAGATGAGGACTTGAACAGTATTCCAGATATTGAGGATCGTCCCGTCGGATCGAAGTTAACAGGTTATGATATACACAAAGTAGAGGTTCTCGAGCGCCTGGCAGCTTTAAATCCCAACAAGTCATGTGGAGCAGACGGCTTTCTCCCTAGATTGCTCAAAGAATTAGCAACCGTCCTGGCCGGCTCTTTGACAATATTCTTTCAAAAAAACCTTGAACGGGGAACTTTGCAGACCTATAGGAAAGAAGCTCATGTATCACCATTGTTCAAAAAAGGTGACAAAAGTAACTATCGCCCAGTCAGTCTGACAAGTGTTGTTTGTAAGGTAATGAAATCTGTTGTGAGGGATAGGATTATAATTATCGATCACTTGACTGCTAACCATCTCCTATCAGACTGTCAACATGGCTTTATTGCCGGTGGATCCGACACCACTAACCTCTTGTCTAAATTGAACGATTGGACTCGCCTGCTGGACGAAAGGGAGCCAGTGGATGCAGTGGACCTCGATTTTCCCTAATCATAAAGCATTTGACAGTGTTCCGCATGAGCGGCTGTGGCTTAAAGTGAAATCTTTGGGAATATAGGGAAACGTACTCCAATGGATCAGAGATTTTCTAGTAGGTAGACGATAACGTGTCAGTATTAACGGAACCGTGTCAGATTGGGCATCAGTGCGCAGTGTGGAGTGCTACAAGGAAGCGTTCTTGTGCCTGTATTGTTAGAATAAAATGGAATAGAAGTGTCGTCACTGAAAAAATAGGCCCATGGCCTGTTGCCGATTCTTGTACTTTTCGTGACTTGATTCACTAGGGATCCGGCCTTTGGAACACGTTCTTTCCATAACTGACGATTGATTGAGATAGCTGCTGGACTTACTGCGGTCCGTAAGGTGCTAGTCATTCAAGACTGGAGATATGCTCCTGTATAGCTTCGTATAGTCTGTTCTTGAAGGCGTTCATACTTGGAGCGTCAACGATGCTAGCAGGGAGGCTGTTCCACATGTCGGCGATTCGAAGCGAGAAGAAATGTTGTCGCATGGATGTGTTACAACGCAGTTTTTTAGTTTATGGCTTTGGCCCCTGGTGTTGGTTCTTGTTTCAAATTCTAGTAATCATTCTGGGACCTTGTTTAAACCGTGGGTATACTTGTATACTTCAATGAGGACGCAGACGTCGATAACAGAGGCTTGGAAGCTTCATAATCTTTAACCTTTCTTCATAAGGCTTGCCTTTTAATCCCAGAATTATCCTTGTTGCACGTCTTCAAACACTCTCGACTAATTTTTTAGCTTTTTCTTGTTTTGGTGACCACACGGCGTTTCCAAACTCTAGGTTCGGACGCACGACAGCGACAAACAACTGCTTCATCGCTTCTGCATCTAGGAACTCGAAAGAGCGCCTGATCAGTCTAAGTCGTTTATTGGCTTTATTAACTTTAGCTTCAATATGCTTAGAAAATTAAACTCATTGTCGATATTAACTCCTAAATCTTTTTCCATTGTCGACTTCGACATCATCACTCTGTCGTTGCAACCGTGTCTTCTCATACTGTAATCTTAGTGACCTTACTGTTCTTTATTCATGCCAAGGTGGATTACTTTACATTTGTCAGCGTTAAAAAGCAGCTGCCACTTATCAGCCCAGTCAACCAACCTGTCAAGATCACCTTACAACTGTACTTTTTTCAATGTATTAGTATAGTATAGTATAGTATAGTATAGTATAGTATAGTATAGTATAGTATAGTATAGTATAGTATAGTATAGTATAGTATAGTATCTTCGGCATTAAAGAATAGGCCTGGATAGGCCTGTCGCCGATTCTTGTACTTTTCTTGACTAGACTGGCCTTTTGATCAGATCTTTTCAACGGACGGTAGATTAAAAATCGCTTCTAGATATCAGTTAAATGTTTTAAATAATCATTGCTGAGTCCAGGTGTTACAAGCGGTCGACGCATGACTTCTTCTTCACCTCCAAACCGGCATCAATCAATCAATCAAAGTTAACCGGTAAATAATCGCCTATAAATAACATATTACTTGATCTTGGAGTACTATATATATACCACGAGTATATTTAGTGAAGGATGCTTCCAGCTTCAAGAACCCGGCTGGCTTTCTCTCCCCTTCCCCTCCACTTCTTATGAGAAGAGCATTTGGCATGAATAATTTACTTTTCTGAGGTTCGCACCTCTGGAGCATGAAAAAAGTCCCCTGACCTTGGGTGCTTGCCGCATCCATATTCTTTCCCAGAGCTCTCTAGCTTAAGATTAGCCCAAGCCTCTTCCTTTTATCTCAACTAATGTGTCTAATGACAGAGATCATGATTCATGCTGAGTTGCTGACCAGCTAGTCTGGAAAAGTCCTATTTTTGTCTGAAATATCGCGGCTCTAATATCATATAATTTCAGTAGGTATGAAATCTCGCGGCTCATGTCTCACCCTACTTTTGCTGTGCGACACTACGACTACGAGGCTAAGATCAATAATTGCGCATGATGAGTAAATCATGAGTTCATTTAGTTGTTTACAAAGACTTGAAGAGAAGAGTGGAAGAGACTGAGGTTTGCAACAAATTACTATTTAGCCATATCAGGAAGAAATTCTAAAAGTGATGGCTAATATATTTTCAATCCACCTTGCCCAATGCGAATGCCCATGAGCTGTGGCGCTTGGCTGGTTTATCAAACCAAATTCCAAAATTGTAGTCAAGACAGAAAGGAATAAAGGTATGAGGTTTTTAAGTTGCCTTTAATTAGGTTTTATTTCAAGTGTCCTGGATTACCCTGTTGCCAGAGGCCAGGGGTAAATTTTTGTTTTTATTTTGCATCTGGCACCTTACCGTCCTTACGAGTTACAAGTAGCATATAGAATTTTTTCAAATATTCCATACAATAGGCTTTGCAAAGAGCTTTAAAATGAGCATAAATTTGTTCATCTGTTCATGAAATGTTTTATGGTAAGAAGTTGCTAACAAAAAACTCTTTAAACCGTCACTTATTACCCTGTTTCACGGTACTCAACTGGTCTGCTTACTCTGCTAATTGGTAATAGCAATAGGTCTAAAATGAAAGAATCTAAAAGACCCTCTGTTTTTCCATTATGATCTCAAGGCACATGAAATGGCTGAATGGCACAAGTAACTCCATGCAAAGTAGATTCATTCCATCCAGTTGATGAACCAGAGTCCAGACCTGCATCAGTTCAGGCATGGAATATATCTACTTGGTGAGCTGCAACTGGATTTTTTGAGCCGTGGCTTCATGGGTTTGCCAGCCATGATTCCATTTCTTCAAGCCATCAATTCCATATCTCAGCCATGAAAAGCCATTTACAACCTGCAAACTTGTTATTTTCTAAGTCCTATACACGTGTTACCCCACATATCTAATTTTACCCTAAAACAGTCACTAGCATTTGTCTTCACTTAAGCAGCAACTGAACAAGTGATAATGCAGTCTGACAACTCTGACCGTCTGATGTGACTGCAATTACGCGATCTTCAGGGAGGAAACTTTTTAGTTGACTTGTTATTATGTTCTGCATGTTATTTTGGTGGTAGGTGGGAGCATTGAAGTATATATACTATGGATTGCTGAAGCTGAAAATTTTATGAAATGACCTACTGCCTACACTCAGGAAGATGTATATAAACGGGGAAATTGCCCGCGCATAAATAGTTTTTTGAAGCCCTAGGTCAGCACAGTTAGCGCAAAGCAATCTAATTATATTTTCTTCGCGCAGGCGTTCGTGCAAATCACGGTCATTGATTCCATGCCGCGCAGCACTCAGCGCAGGCTGCGGAGCCGTCCGACACAGTTCTGATTTAGACACTGTTTTCATCTGAATGGAATGGCAACATCATCTGTAGATTTCAAGTAACACTGAACCAGCATTGCCAGATGGTACCTATATTTCTATACCAGATTTCACAAATCTGGTATTTTCAGAAGGTGTCAGGTATGAATATTTTAGATCTGGTATATATGCCTAAATCTGGTATTTTTCTGGTATTTTATGACTTACTGCAAATTTACTGCATTAAGTTCCACCTTTGAAGTTTGAACTTCCTCCAGTGTAGGCGTGGATTATATTATTATTTATATAGATTGCCTTCGGAGCGGCACGATTAGAGCTTTCCCGCCATTTTTGGAACCGCAAGTTTACCGCAAGTTTTCATGTCAACCGGAACTCAAACACCACAGCAGAGAGTATTTTATGCAGCTAATAAATTTTGCAAACTTTGCTGGAAGAAAGATTATTGAATTTTAGAAAAAGGCGGGATAATTCAATGAAGGGTGGTGGCAAACCTGAAATCTTGATACTCTATTGCGGTTTGTGCTATGATAACCTATGTAACAATTTTCATATGATACCGTAGTTATAATTTTTGCACATTCAAAGTACACATGACATAACATAACGCACCCAGATTTGGAAACCATAATTGCTCAAATGAAGTAAAAATAAATGACAAACCATTGACTTATCTTGTAAATATATATATATTCATATTTTGTATCACATAGTATAATTATGCTCTGTAATTATTCCATATTGACCTAATTTGCATAGTCCATTTACGCGCATTGTTATAAGGTATTGATCATGTCGATTTCACCAACCGGGAGGATGTCGGGAATGTAGTCCCAACATTGGCATGCAGGATCGTACTGTTGACGTACAGCAGGTTCATACCCTACTTGCCGCAACCAGTCCAGTCATTCATTAGAAGGCACCGATGGCACATCTAAAGCCATGTTGCCTTCTTTAGTTCTGTAATTCATGTCTGATTGAATTGTGATCTATGAATGAATATTTATTACTGTGCCAACTCTTAGAACCTGAGTCCTGAGTTGACGTGTTAGCAATCTAGTTAACTCATATCCAACCACAACACAATGCGGATACACGTTTGTGTGTACGGTCAGTATGATTACGTAATTTGCGTTGCGGCGCGTCCATATTTAAACTATTTTAGATTTCTAAAACTTCGGCACACGGCGCATTTTTTACTGGCATAGTACGGTGCACCGCGCAGGTCGTTGAAATGACACTATAAATTCCCGCGCACCTGGCACATCTTCCTGACCATGGCAAAATTTTCCGTTTAATATTAGGCTGCCCAATTTTTTAATATTATGCTGTGACTCAAATGACATGTTTGCAAAGTGCAAACTGCAATTTTTTCAATCAAACAAAAATTTATGACATTAGAGCCACAAGATTTCACACCTACTGAAATTATATGATATTACAGCTGCAATATTTCAGAAAAAAATAGGACTATTCCAGCCCTGTACCAGTTCATGGTGAATATTGCTTTTTATTCTTGCTAAATAATTCATTTAGCAGAAATCTTGCAGCTCCATTCTCCAAAAATGGCAGGCAAGCTCTAGTCATAAAGTAGATACTGGGTATATATCATGCCTCTATGGATATAAATATGTTTATATAAATTTTTCATAATTGGTTATATTGTGCAAATGGTGATTTATATACCTATTCAATATTGATTTAGTGTGTTTGATCATTGTTTTGATCCAAAAATATCAGCCTTGTTATTAAGGGAGGTTTTATTTGAGGTCTTTTGATCTAATTAAATCAAAATGTGCAATTATACCTGTATATGTGTTATCCCTAATTTTATTCTGCATGATGACTCATGGCTCAGAAAGTCAATACCTACTGCCCATACTGGTGTTTATATGAATGGGAAACCTTTAACTTTGATGTAAATATTATGGCTCCAAACATAGTGAATAATTTTAGAGATACCGGTATTTGTAATCAGTGATATACCTACATAAATGTTGTTTTATTGACAAAAATCTAGAAGATATATAATTGAGCTAGCAATAGTCTTGTGGTTCCAAAAATGATACTATAGGTACGGTAGCTTCTATATGGGCTTAGACCTTAAATAGCGGTACTCCTCTGCTTTTACTAGGCTAAAAAACTGACCTTTGTTAATAGCAAACTGATCGTGCAGAAGGAGGTGATTATTCTACTCTGCTCAAACCCATCATGATTCCAAGCTATCTTATTTATTATATCATTTAAAGATTATATATATTACGGTAGTAAGTTACAAATGAATTTATATTTCAATTCATTATTATATGTTTGAAATTTGTTCATCGAAAATGGCTAGAACAATCACAAACTGTATATTCTGGGAAAATTGTAACAGAGCTCTGAAACATACTTCACTACCAAGTATACCAAGTAAGTTACATTTATGTACCTATAAGATTTTTTTAACAACCCTCAAATTTACTGGAAAAAATTTCTTCTCATCTCAATTGCCTGGATTGATTTTATTTTTAACCAATTACATATTCATTTTTCTTCATTGCCAGTGCCAGTACTACAATATTTTGTAGCTGATCTGTAACTTGGTGAAGTGCATCTTAGAATATGTCTATTATATTGTTATACATGAATGTTGAGCTGAATCTGTTTGAAAAATATGGAGCAATTGATTTTTTGTTTTATTTATTTTTCAGGTTTTGGACCTAGAAATCTGAGCAACTACTATCATCCTACACAATGTTCTCATCCACCCTATCGATCTGTTACTCCTGTTATGATTCCCTTTCATATGCCTGGGGAAGGAGCTTCACAATTGCGTTTTCCACTTCCTTTGAATGCCTCCTCATTGTTACATTCTACCACAACTAGTGCTCTTGGTCACAGATGGTATGCATCTTCTGCCCAAGGTAAGAGATAAATCTTGATTAAATATACCTATTTTTGTTGCCATATCTTCAGGTATATATTTGTTCTCATATAAGCTATATGATTTTACTAAATATCTTGAAAATTACATAATGAAATACTCTTTCTTGAATGATATTCAAGTGTCCTTTCAAGTGCATAATAACCAATTGCAATTTTTAGGAAATTCTACGGAAAATAAATTGAAAGAGGAGCCTGTTGATGAAAGCAAGTTGGGGCTCGTTGCTCGTTTCAAATTGATGTACAAACAATACTGGTATGTGCTGATCCCTGTCCATTGGGCCACCTCAGCAGTCTGGTACGGTTCATTCTTCATCGCTGCCAAGAAGTTAGTATTTCTGAGAAATTCCTATAAGTACATATATATCTCGTGCATTGGTCATTTAGTCTTTAAAACTCTGGAACCAACTATTTGACTCACAAATAAATAATTTAAAATTTCTAGAAAACTTCCTGTGATCTTTTCCTTGTTTTCACTTGTGATCCAGAGACTTGTGTAATAGATCTGCAAACACTGGGTTGCATTTTAAGACCTGCAGATAACTGTTAATTGTTAGTTTCGTGATAACAGAATAGGTGTCCTCTGTTTTATCTCTATTTTACATTTCTGTTGATATATGTGTCCATGTGAGCAATATTTAGTTTTACCTTTGGAATTAATCTTTTTAAACACCCTTACTTAATCAATTAATAGTTTATTATCATGAACTCATTCCACAGTGGCGTTGAGATCGTGCCGATGCTAGAAGCTATGGGAGTTACTAGCGACAAAATTTTATCAGTACTCAAAGACAGCAATGCTGGGTACTATGCAATAGCATACGCTATGTACAAATTGGCAACTCCTGCGCGCTACACAGTCACTCTGGGTCAGTATCAGCTATTTTTACTCTATTTAGAATCAGGAGTCATGGAGGGCTGCAAAAATTAACTCTTCAAGTCACAATATGCGCTTAGTACTTGAAATATTTTTCCATTCAAATTTTACATGTTCTTTTGACTGAGTTAATTTTAAATTTAATTTATAATTAACCATCACTCAGTCTCTCCACTTTGTGTAATATTAGTATCCTGAATTTTCTCCCTGATACAGCCGGTACCACATATTCCATTAACTACCTGAAGAAAAGGGGCTACATCAAACCTGTACCATCAAAGGAGCAGCTCAGAACGATATACGAGGACAAGCGTGAAGAGATGCGCGGCAAACGAGACGAGTTGATGGACAAGTTAGAGGAGCGGCGAGGGGAATTGAGGGACAAGTTCGAGGAGCGGCGGGAGGAATTGAGGGACATGATAGAGGAGCGGCGCAGCGAGATGCACGAGAAGCGCAATGAGCTGACCAAGCGCTTGCAGTCTGGTACCAAAGAAATGAAGAATAAGATCGCGGAGCGTTCCGATGAAATCAAAGAGAAATTGGAGCAGAATTCGCACAATCTTCAACAAAGTTTGGAGAGTTCATCAAGCAAATTTAAGCGTAAAGTCTTGGATGAAAGCAGAAAAATTCAAAGCCATGTGCCAGAAATTGGAAGAAAAGATTAGCAGCTCGTGAGTTTCAGCTGATGGCAAGAAAATGTTCCTCAGTTCGGTAGTTTACTTGTAATCTCGCTTATGTTTTGTACAGAACTTTATATTAGCGAAAATTTAACTAATACCCATATTTCCTGTAGAGTTCTACAAGGAGTTTTAACTGTGATTAATAGAAACTACCGTATGTTCTGCACTGTTGAAACTCTCATGCTATTTTTTGTATGTTGATGAAATATTTCAACATTTTATTCTACCATTATAATTTTACCGAACTACACTACCTTCGTTTACGAAGCAGACTATTTTCTTCATAATTGTATCGTTTCTGCGACGAAGTGAAAAAACTTCTATGAGAGGCTTCAACTTGTCTTTCATTGTCTTTTGGATGGACATAATAGCGTCATAGCATGCGCATCGATGGAACTCAACGTGAAACAGAATGAAGGGTTTGATCTTTCTCATTATATGATTTTCTGAAGCAACAACACGCATTGAATACTCTTAGTGGAACGGACCTGAGTGCGGAGATCAGGGCTTTCAGACAGGAAGCCCAGTTTTATACTGCTCTTGAACACTTTGAAATCTCAAGCCTAAAGTGGTAGAAATACATTCGTTTTTCAAACTGAATATTAATAAATGAATTTAAGGGCCAATCCAAAAACAAACTCACATGCAAGCGAGCAGAAATAATATATTTTACTTAATGACAAACGCTCTCAGCGCTCGTAGATGCCATTCGACTTTCATCATTTTCAACTCTCTCCGCCTGTAAGCAAGCTAGGGACGTTTGTGTTAGCTGATTCTAGCATGTTGGGCAGTAAAACTTTTTATTTTCTGCGATGCTATTGCAATGCAGGATAAGTGATACGACGGCATCGCTGGTGTAATTAAAATTTGGCATCGCTGGTGAAAAACAGGGAGTTTCTGGTGAATATCAAGGTATCGCTGGTGAAGATCAATGCACACTGGCGAAAAACAAGGCATCGCTGATTTAACAGAGTAGCCACGGCGTATGGAGGATTTGGTTACTTAAAGATCGTCTGAATCGCATGCAAATGTGTTGTGGCATTATACTACACGTTTTGTGCCAGGTGTTGCAATAAGAGATTGAGTCTATCGACGTACAAAATAGTGAGAGATGAGAATGGAAAGTTGTGTGACAAGAGAAAGGACACCTACATCTGGCTGGCCAGATGTCGTTTCAGTTGTGCAAACACTTCGTCACTCCACAACGAATTCTACTCGTGATGGGCGAAGTTTAAGTTGTTCTTTAAGAGTGGAGCAAAATATTAATGTATATATACTTCATTTTTTGGGCTTTAATTTCGCTTTCGACTATTCAGCCTTTTATCTGTTCTGTACTTAGAATAAATTCAGTTCATTAATTCAACTGCATAGAATGTAATTACCTTTTTTTAAATTGGTGGAATTTATATGATAACCATAATAACTTTTATGTGAGCCAAACTCGGGTATTATTTCTAATTTTTTATTCGTCGTTGAAAAATTGAAGTACGAATCTGTCAGAAGACCTCAAAGTAAGTCAGTACGTCAGTGAGCTTTTCAGTCAGTGAGCTAAGCAGTCAATATTCAAGTGCTAGTCTCATGAGTTGTACGAAGTTTACTTTGCAAACAAATAAACATGCTTCATTAGTTTGAGTGAGAAAGTTACGTGGTTGGTCTATGCTTTGATGTCAATTCCTAGCTACGTCATGTCTTCTCAAAAACTCGTCGAAGTGGCTTGAATTTTGTGTTCTTTTTTGAGAGCGAAGGCAAGTTACACTGAAAAATGCAAAATACGCGATAATAATTTACGGATATTTCAAAATGATCGGAAATATAGCCTCTATATTTGGATCGCTTTATCACCCAGAAGTAGCCTACCAACAATCATTTCGTCTTGTTTTTTTTTATTATTTCATCTCAACTCGCGTCCAAGATATACTTTCCTGCCAACAAATATTACCTGAAATGGCAACTCTCAGATCAACAACCCAAATGATGGCTGGGCGCTAACTGAGACTAAAAAAAATAGTTTTCCTGACAGGGCGACGTATTTCGGAGCAGCGGCCTGGGGTTCTATCTCACTCAGGCCGTCGACGCTCGTTTGGCTCCATGCCGAATTCGGCTACTACGAGTTACGCGAGGTCCTAACGTCTTCTCGGGATCTCTTCAAATTTCTCTTCATTTATATTTTGTACGTTAATTTATATTTGTTTTTGGACAATTTTTTGGTTATGTATATAGTAGTAGTCTCGAAACAACTTTCAAGATATTTGTAATGTACAAGAAAGTTGACACGCCTCGATCACGAATCAACATTTCCACTCAAGCTTAGTTACGAAAAACTTAATTTCTTAGGAACACTTTTATTATATGCAGTTTCGCGTCCTAAATATAAGTGATAATTTTCTTTGTCATAATGGAATACTCAATCATTACATACAATTGGTTATGCCTTTTTTCATTTGTTAATAAATCGGAGAAATATGATTCTCTTCATGCCGCCATTCTCTGGTATTTAATGCGAGGACAAATTCGATCATGTGCGAGAACTACTGCTCAGAAGTTCTCGAAAATTTAAAATTAGTTACTTACTAACTTCATTCTGATTGTGATCGAGTGCATAGAAATCTCCAGTGCCGTTATCGTCCTCAGTAACCGCTCTAGTGGGGTTACAGTAACCTCCAGCGCCGTCTTCGTCCTCAGTAACCTCTTGTGCCGTCATCGTCCTCAGCAACCTCNAGAATAAGTGCCTGACTTGTGCATCGCACTCTGTCACCCTAGTCGTTAACTGTTTCAATGAATTCCTTTTACTAGCCAGTTCCTTACAAAGAAGTTTATTCTGCCATGACTTATAGAAAGAGGACGTATGTAGACAACGTTTATATAGTTTGAATCTGAGAAATTTATTTTATTTCGATATAATGTTAGGTCTTGTTTAGGTTTTATGTCTGTCTTTGAATTTTGACTTTTAAAGTGATTTTATTCATTTTTAGTTTAGTCGAACTGATGATGGAGCTGGACTCCGAAACGTTTTCAAAATCAATATAGTGAATTTTCTTGGCGTTTTCTTTGCTTTTAAATTCCTTGTGAATTTGCGATATAAGCAGACTAATGATATAAGTACTTATATACAGTCATGAAAAGATCCGGTCAAATGACACGAGTTTAGATCTATGAACAAGGCACGAAAAAGAAAAGAATCGGCGACAGGCCACATCAGGCCTACACTTCAGCGCCGACATCACTATGTTATGTTATGTTATGTGGACCAGACGGCTTTGTTGTTTGTAAGGTAATGGAATCTGTTGTGAGGGATAGGATTATCGATCATTTGACTGTAACCATCTTCTATCAGACTGTCAACATTGCTTTATTGCCGGTAGATCCTGCACCACTAACCTCTTGTCTACATAGTACTATTGGACTCGCCTGCTGGACGAAAGGGAGCCAGTGGATGCAGTGTACCTCAATTTTCCCTAAGCATTTGACAGTGTTCCGCATGAGCGGCTGTTGCTTAAAGTGAAATCTTTGGGAATATGGGGAAACGTACTCCAATGGATCAGAGATTTTCTGGTAGGTAGACGATAACGTGTCAGTATTAACGGAACAGTGTCAGATTGGGCATCAGTGCGCAGTGTGGAGTGCTACAAGGAAGCGTTCTTGGGCCTGTATTGTTAGAATAAAATGGAATAGAAGTGTCGTCACTGATGAAATAGGCCCATTGTCTGTTGCCGATTCTTGTACTTTTCGTGACTTTATTCACAAGGGATCCGGCCTTTGGAACACGTTCTTTCCATAACTGACGATTGATTGAGATAGCTGCTGGACTTACTGCGGTCCGTAAGGTGGTAGGCATTGAAGACTGGAGACATGCTCCTGCATAGCTTCGTATAGTCTGTTCTTGAAGGCGTTCATACTCGGAGCGTCAACGATGCTTGCAGGGAGGCTGCTCCACATGTCGGTGACTCGAAGCGAGAAGAAATGTTGTCGCATGGATGTGTTACAACGCAGTTTTTTACTTTATGGCTGTGGCCCCTGGTGTTGGTTCTTATTTCAAATTTTCGTAATCATTTTGGGACCTTGTATAAACCGTGGGTATACCTGTATACTTCAATGAGGACGCAGACGTCGATAACAGAGGCTTGGAAGCTTCGTAATCTTTAACCTCTCTTCATAAGGCTTGCCTTTTAATTCCGGAATTATCCTTGTTGCACGTCTTCGAACACTCTCGACTAATTTTTTATCTTTTTCTAGTTTTGAAGACCACACGGCGTTTCCAAACTCTAGGTTCAGACGCACGACAGCGACAAACAACAGTTTCATCGCTTCAGCATCTATGTACTCGTAAGAGCGTCTGTTCAGTCCAAGTCGTTTATCGGCTTTATTAACTTGAGCTTCAATGTGCTTAGAAAATTTAAACTCATTGTCGATATTAACTCCTAAATATTTTTCCATTGCCAACTTCGACATCATCACTCTGTCGTTGACTCGTTGCAACCGTGTCTTCTCATACTGTTCATTATTCATGCCAAGGTGGATTACTTTACATTTGTCAGCGTTAATTAAAACGCAGCTGCCGCTAATCAGTCCAGTCAACCAACCTGTCAAGATCACCTTACAACTGTACTTTTTTCAACGTATTCTTCACTGTATTATAAACTTTTGTGTCGTCAGCATACGTCGAGCACCCACTAGATTCGTTGCTTCTGTAAACGATCTGCCAGAAGAGAAGTAGTGTTAAGCGTGTGCTCATTTGCTCCATGTATGGCGACGACAGACATAAAGTTTATAATACAGTGAAGGATGCGTCAAATAAAGCGCAATTGCAAGATGCTCTTGACAGTTTAGTTAACTGGACTGATACGTGGCAGCTGCGGTTTAATGCTGACAAGTGTAAAGTACTTCACCTCGGGAAGAATAGTGAACACCAAGATTACAGTATGAGAAGACTTGATTGCAACGAGAGTAATAATTGAAAAGTCTAGTGTGGAAACTTAAGAGTTTATGTCGACAAGAAGCTGTGAATTTTAAGCATATTGAAACGCAAGCAAATAAATCCAACAAACTTCTTGGACTTGGACTGATCAGACGGTCTTACGAGTTCCTAAATGCAGAAACGATGAGCTGTTGTTTGTTGGTCTCGCGCCCGACCCTAGAGTTTGGAAACGCCGTGTGGTCACCGAAACTTGAAAAGGACAAAAATTGAATTTTTCGATCAAAGTCAACAGTCCATTTTTTTTTCAAAACGGAATCCGAGTTCGTATATAAGCATTTTAAAATTTTTTGTGCACTTTCACTTTGATGTAAGCGGTTACACCTTACATTATTTACTGAGTACTGACCTGGATCTATGGACATGACTTCTACTGTTACTTGTCTTATAGCTCCGCTGACTGACCGTGTGCAGCCGGTGTTGTCTTATATGATGAGTCAAAACCTTCTACTCCTGTCGACGAAGCTGCTAGAAGCAAACCTTTCAGCAACCGTCGTAGATATTTGAAGACTGACGACAGACCTCGACGGGTATTCATTAACAGTGCCCTTGTAGCAGCCGCCTCAAAGCGCACGTGTAAGTTTTTCTCTAGCTCTACGCATAGCAGGCTTCAGTGTACGCTTGTCACTACGCATCAAGCGTGCGTTGATCGATGTAAGGAGCTTGAAATATGCCAGCAGTGCATAAGTTCAGAGCACGAACTGAAAGATTGTACAGTTGAATTGACGATGCATTTGAAATGTCGTTTGCAGTGCCATCATTGTAGCGTGCATTTGGTATAGTAAATAAAAAATTAAAAATTCCAGATCCTTCTTGGCGGAAATTAACGGATAAAGTACCCATGTCAAAATCGACGGTATTATTGGGGTTGATTTATTTCCTTGCATTGCTTTTGGAATTACGCCGCGTTTGAATGGCATGGCTCTTTCGATAGTCTCGAACGTAATTCCTGACGGAAACGTAGATGGCATTTTGACGCAGAAAATTAAGCGGCGCGTATGCATCAAAATTTGCTCAGGCTATATGCCGGAAATAATTCGTATGCAAACTTTGTTCTCGATCCCCTTCCAAAATATCCTGATCCAATTTCAGAGGCGCTTCCAGAGAGTTACGTTGAAGGAAACTTAGATAAGTTATTCATATTAGAGACGATCGTTATCTCTGAAAAAAGAGAGCAATTCTTCCCTTGAAGAAGGGAAAATTAAGCAATTTGAAGAGAACATTAAATTTGAAGATGGTAAATACCATGTAAAACTTTGGTGAAATGAAAATTTGAGGAACGTGAAATCAAGTTCCAAATTGTCCGAGCTGTGATGGAGCGGGTGCTCGATAGACTAAATTACAAAGGCTTGTTTTATCAGTATGACGCTATTTTCAATGAGCAGATTGAGGAAGGCGTTTTAAACGCATTTCGTTAGAGAAATGTACTGGAGATGAAATGTTCATACATCATCGTGATCTTGTGCGTGAAGACGAGACCTTCACAAAGGAGGTCCGCCCTGTGCAAAATTGCTTGCTAAAACGCAGCGTCTTTTTAGGGTGTTGATTTGATGTCGAATCTATTCAGTTTACTGCTGGGCATGCGTCATGATGAATATTCAATAATTTTTTGACACAAAACGCGCCTTTCTTCAAATTAAGCTGAGCGACAACAACGATCGTTAAAAATTCTGTATTATATAAGTTAATAATGGTGAACTCGAGGCTTACCGGTGCACATCTATTGTGTAAGGCTATGTTGTCAGTCCATTTATTCTAAATTTTGTGATCAGGCGCAATGTCGCTCAGTACCCTTATGACATGTGTTCTTATTTCTTTAAGAACGGTTTGTACGTTGACAATCTGTTACTGACGGGTGACGGTCAACGTTACATCCCAGATGATTGAATTATACTGCATTGCCTACTCGCGCATGCTGAACGGGCTTCGTCCTGCGTTCGGGCTTCAAATTGTGACGTATTTAATCAAAACTTTCAAACCTACGGTGTGCATGGCTGTGCATTATCAAGGTAATACAGGGAATATTCTGGGCTACATGCATAAAAAATGTAACGACACCGCGTATCTTGCATTCAATGATGCATATAGTCAGCATGACCCGGTCACAAAACGATCAGTTCTGTCTGAACTTTCTAAATGTTTTGATTTCTTAGGTTTGCTATACCACATTTTGGTCAGGAGCAAGTCTCTTACGAGACGTCGCTGGCAGGCGGGTATTACTCGAGACGACCAAGTCCCACCGATATTAAGTTAGATTGGCTCCAGTTACCCAAAGGGCTTGACTTGTTAAATGCCTTTCAGCTTAAAAGACAGTCTCTCGTCGTGGGTGAGAATGTACAGCTAGTTCTCTTTATCGATGCTTCAAAAGCTAACTACGGATCCAACGTTTACAGTGTCACTGACGGAGTGGCGGGAAAGTCTGCAAATTTGCTCTTCAGTAAGACCAAGGTATCGCCTTTGAAGTCGAAAGCCTGCCTACATTATAGAGCTTCTAGCAATTTATCCCGCTATGAAACGTCTGCTATGTCTGGCACGATCACTTGACACTGTCAAAATTATCAGTGCCGTCATTGCTGTCGATTCGCATATTGCTCTGACGTGGGTCCTGATCAAGCTAATAAAATCAAAAAATGCCTCTGCCTCCAACAGAGTGAAAGATATTCTAAATTTATGTGACCAACTGCGAGATGAATTTAAACCATAAATGTAAATTCAAATATGTGCTCACTGCTCAGAATACTTCAAACCGGTTAAAATTGTGTCAATGTGGGGACTGTGTGTAGAACGCGAGCTGTTGTGTATAAATTGTGTCAATGTTAACAAGAGAGATGACCGTAAAACAATTCCGTGACCAATATACTTCCTGGCAAAAGGGTCCCGAATTTCTTTGTAAGACTGAATAAAGTAGGCCTAAAGTCAGCTTGTTGACTTAATGTGATGCCAATAAGCAGGTCGTCTGTGGCGCAGTACTGAATAATTGTGTCAGCACTCCTGTGAATGATCTTCACAGATATTCGCAGCTGGACAAATTGATCTCTGTAACGCGTGGTATTCCATTTCATCGGGTCTCTTAAAAAGACAAGGCCCCATCGCGTAAACAGTTTGACGCTGGCCCGCAAATACTGGATTAAATTTCAACAGTCTTTGCATTACAGGAGCTTGCCTTTTTGCTTTCAGATGGCTCCGGTACCGTGCCTCCTTTGAGATCTTAACCTATTCTTAGATGCTGATGGTATTATTCGTTCCAGAGGACGGCTGAGCAGATGTGCTCACATACTTTATGCTGTTGGACATCCTGTCCTCATTACTAGCCACAGCCATATCACTAACTTGATAATTAGAAATTCCCATTTAAAGTGTGAGCACGTGCATGGGTTTCTCTTCTACCTTAAATGCTCACCGTAATTTGCCGTACATACTCTCCGTTATTGGCGACTCAAACCGCGACCTCGAGTGAAGCGTTTGCCGTAGGAATGCGCAATCTGCACTCGATTAAATGCATTATCGTACAGGTACCCCAATGTGACTGACTGCGTGAGTGACGGCGTCAATTTCGTAAGACCGTTCGAAAACGCAGGTGTTGATTTTACTGGTCATTTTTTCGTGCAGTTGGCCTGTTTAGGTTTGCGTGCCATTCATTTGGAAGTAGCGCCTTACACGAGCACAATGTCATTCCTCTTTGCTTTCGTTTGATTCTTGAACAGGTTTGGACTGCATAAAAGCATCTTCAGCGATAACGCTCCTAGCTTTGTTCAAGCTGCCAAAAAAGTCCTTTTTCAGATAGTTGCTTCTCCGAATATTTGGCCAAAAATGAAGTAAAGCATTACCGTGTGTCCGTGTCCCATTATATTCACCTTGGGCTGCTGCCACTTGGGAGCGCCTTCTGAGAGTTCTTAAAACACTCTGTAAAAATCCATTGGCAGAAACAAAATTGAATACTTTAATTTCTTACCTTGATATCTTACGCACAGGAAGCGTTCAATAATCGTTCACCTTACCGTGATACCAGCGATGAGACTTAATATATTGCAACTCCTGATTCTTTCATCCGTATAGCATGAGCAGTAACTTGACTTTCGGTGCTTTGGTGGGTGACCTCAACATACATGTGCCTGCTCGTGCTGATCTAATTTAAACCCTCGAAATTAAGCAGGACGCTCTAGGCAAATTTAAAGACTTATGGTACGATGAGTGCTTTCTCTCGTTGCGAGAAACTCGCATTAATCTCTATCAGCCCAAATGGGAAGATCGAATTAAAATACGAGACATCGTTATCATATATGCACCGAATAAACCACGTCCTCGGTGGACCATGGGTCGCATCTGTAAATTATTAACAGACAACGACGGAAAGACAAGACCTGACCGCTCAGGGGAGTTCACTCAATTTCACTATTGTATCCTTTAGAATTAGGTTTAGATTCTGTGTTTCCGTTACGTCTCTTGATTGTCCTCCATGTGTCTCTGTATCGTCCTTTGACTCCAAACAGGGTTAAAATCAGTAGTTAAAATCTAATAAAACTCTTCATCTATTAGTTTCAATTGTACTTAATCATTCTTTCTGCTGCCCTTAAGTTTAATTCACAATATGTCACTTAATGATAATTCCATGGAAGACTCCCAGAAGTTCACTAGTGCTGCTCTGGAGTTGGTGCTGGAAAAGGAATCTGATCAACCATCTCTTGCAACGAAAGTTGGGGTTCTCATGAGCACCAATCTTGAAGTTGCGACGGTAGGTTAAATACGTATCTGTATTCATATGGTTGGGCTCTGTGCTTCTTGTGGCATGTTGGTTAATGTTCTGCAATCCATATCATTTTTTTCTACACGGTCAGTGTTAAAGCCTGGGAAGGGAATGTATTTTGGCTATAAGATTTGAAACGGCTGGTAATGTAATTTTATCAAGTTAATTGTTTAATTTTGATAAATTAATTGTTCAATTAAGTAAATTAAAGCACAAACTTTCAACTAGAACATAGGCACAAAGTATTAATTAATGTAGTATGATAAAGGTGTGAATAAACTGCTGGCTTCCTTCCTAAAAGTTTTATATGACACGAAATGTCATTGAAATGCCAAATGTTTCTTCCAGGCCATCCTGAGTGCGTTGTCAGCAGTGCAAGTGAGCCGCCTCCTGAGCATATGCCGCTTATGGCATTCTGTTGGCCTCAAAGAACTTCAGCGACGAAAAAACATGCAATTCATATTTATGAGTTCTAATTCCCCTTTGCAGGTGATTAATTTACCAATTTTCCTTATGATGAACATCTCTTGAGACATTACTGCCTAATTTATCAACTTAAATTCTATGAACGCAATTGATTTTGTGTGTTGAAATTAATTCTGAATCAAAATAAATTCCAAACATTAATTTTCTACTTCAAAACAGGAAGCATAGTGACTTGAGCATGCAAGTCAAACTCCAAATGATACCTATATTAGTAAAATGTGATAACACTATATTGAGTTTCCAACAAATAATTTTCTTCGAAAATTTCATCTTGAACTTGGCTGTATTGATTTGACACATTATTGTGTCCTGCTGTCCTTTTGCCTGGTTCAATGGTCAGATTAGCTACATGGACAGTTGCACGAGTAAAATGGCTACATGTATCATTTATATCTGCAAAAACAAACTACTTAGGCTTTGAAGTCTATTGAACTTACACGTTATAGTCATACAATTCTTGATATAGGCCATGAACTGTTTGCTCAAACATGCAGTCAGTATTCCTAGAATATGCTTCCTTGTTCTATCCCACTTTGTCCTTCCCGTCAAAAGAAAGATTCATGGATGCCTTTACTTGCAGCAGGCAAGTGACACCTCACAGGAAGAAAGGCTTTGCTCATGGGCACAACAGTGGCGATCAGTACCCAGATTCTGTCTGGTGCTTAACTACATGAGCAATAATCGTGCTGGTAAATAGCGTTTCTTGATTGAATGTTCTGACATGATACCTCTTTCGCTGAATGGGAACTTGAATTGTCGGTAATAATTCATTCTATCGTACAATTCTGTTGTTTTGACGAATGCTGACTCCAGTATGTGTTATATGTGAGGATGTGTTTTACATGTGCTTTTGATGGTCAAGTTGAATTCAAATAATTTTTTAGCAAGTAAAGGCTAAGAATCAGACAATGGTTTTGTTTTCAACTGTCTGTCCAAAATTAATAAACTGTTCTCAAGCTAATTTGGTTGCATACAAATACATTACCTAAATACTTTGTTACATTCCCAGTTTGCGATGCTCATGCCTTGTCAATATCTAAATTCATATTCTTTAAATGAATAACTTCAAAGAAATTAATTTATGATTTTTATTGTGATGACTGTGTAGATATTGATAATAAACCTTCCCACAGAAAGAATGCTGGAAGATAGCAAACTTCTGCCGCCAACATGCCCTATTGTTGAAGTGCAATGCGAAGGAGGCATATTTTATTCTGATGAAGTGTTACCTCATAATCGAACTGTAGATCATAACCTGTCGTTTTGTGGCTCTCTCAAGTGCCCAAACATGTCCCTTCCCTCAGAACCTATTTTCCTTCCTAAAACGGCAATCAAAGCTCAAAGATCTGAAAGTATTAACCAGTCTTTGGACCAAACACCTGCTGCCCTGGACATATCAGTGCCACAGTCTTCAAATTCAGAAATCAACTCAGACACAAGTTTTGTTCAATCCTTGCAGCAAGAGATGTTGAGAGCTCAGCAGGAGAAGGCCAGCTTAAATTGTGTTCTCTGCCGTAACGTTCTGAGGTGGAATGTTGGTCCGAGCTATGTAGATTTCATGCACGAGATGAAGGGATTCGAAATCATCTGTGTCCCAAACATTCCTGGAGTCACTTTCCGTTCACTGGAAATAGGCGAGAAGCAAAAGGTACGTGACTTTTTGATAATTTCGAGTCGAATAATAGCTTATAACAATTCAATGATCATCCCTGAAAGTCCTATAGACTATATATTAATGTTATTATTGTACGAAAGCCCTATGCTAATTTAACAGTCGCATTAATATCACGATAATTCACGGTTCACCTATCGCGGTCTCAGGATATCAGTTCACAAATATTCACGAAAAACTGAAATTAAGGCCATTTGGTGCCCAGGCTAGAAGCATGCCAACAGATTTTAAAGACGATTACCATATTTAAAAAGATTCAGAAACTATCTCCTCATCTATCTCATTAGGTAGATGAAGCTAGAAATTATACGTATGTTGGACATACTTAGAGCAAGATATATATATTCCCTTAAGGATGATTGGCTTCATGCATCTTAAGAGCAATGTTTAATAAGCATCGTTTGATTTTGCTGTTAGAAGATTAGCTAGTTCTGCTGGTTTGTGCAATATTTTCAGTGACAAGTTGGATTTTCGTTTGAATTTTTACGGAGAGGTTCTATTGAAATGCAAGAACGGCTTCTTCTGGTCTACTCTGTACAGATTTGACGGGATTAAAAATAAAATGAATTAATGTGAATATTTATATTGCGATTAAGAAATATCACAAGTTTATCCTTGATTCTGCAGAGCGCCAACTCGTCAAATTCTACGGAAGACTTGGTGACGTGGAATGGATGTTTGCCAGTAGATGAACGGGTCAGAGCCGTGCTGGTTTTTGACGATAGACACACGAACCTTAAGCCTTACTTGGAGCAGCTTATCAAAAAGTGAGCATAACTCGGAACTCCTTACTTAAAGCAAATTGAATATCCATCCAATTTGAATACAGCTATATATATATACAGCGCACGAATTTCATGCTCTCGGCTCACGTTTAATTCACTGAGCAGAGAGCAAGGCAACGTGGCTGTGGTGGGGGGCATGCCTTTTGACCACATAGAGCATCCGTCAGGAAGTAGTAAGTTATTAATCTGTAAATTTTTTTCTTAGATTTTTACGCTCATTTTTGAATTTTGCTCTTTCTTCTAACTTGATGTTGATGGTGAAAACGCGAATTTATGTTAATAATAATGTAAAAACTGTAAGATTGCTTTACTTTCTGCATACATGCGTGCGCCTACGCTCAGAAAAAAAGGGTCATGCTGTCCTAATAGTGACAAACTTTCTGCACGTAGCTCTGACATACCTTTTTTCAAAATGACCGACAATATAGCCATAAGTGAATCGATATTTGGACAAAATCCTATTCATTTCTTGCAATTTCGTGTAACAAAGGCTCATATCATGAGGTCGAACTTTATTTTCGTGTAATTCGCTAAAATTTTTATGTATATATTTACTCTGAGCGGTTACAACGTTTTTCTTTGCGACTCATTCTTCCTGATCATTGATTGCTTTATCGAAAATATAAATTGTTTCATTTTCACCGGATGCAACCAACAGCAATTTACTCGTTCCCCGTTGCCGTTATTCGCATAATGTTTCCCTATAACCTTTCAACCCAAAATTAATGCGAACTTGAAGAAAAGGTTTATTGCATAATCATAAGACCTGAGTTAAATATTCAGGTATCCGCGGCATGGCGGTGTGTGGTGAGAACGTGACGGCTGCAAGCGTGATCATCCCCTCTCCCACGGATGGACAGGATATGACACGTCCTGCCATGTCTAAGGTGACGAGGAGAACATGACATGTCATGCTATGTCTAGACCTCTAGGGTAACGAGGAGAACATGACACGTCATGTCTTGTCTAAGGTGAAGAGGAGAACATGACATGTCATGCTTTGTCTAGGCCTCTAGCTAGGGTAACGAGAATATGACACGTCATGTCTAAGGTGACGAGAAACTGACACATCATGCATGCACTTAATTAAAGATTTGCCTTACCAGGCACCTGACGTTGAAGTAACATTGATTAAACGACGTTTCGACGAAAAAAACTCGTAATCAACGTTGTTTTCTACGTAGTTTGCCTAGCGAAGAGTAACCATGCAGACGCGCATCTCCAGTCTGACCTTCCAAGGTGGAAGCGAACTAATTTTTATTTGATCTTTGCTAGCTGGGATAACTTGATTTGGAAATTGAAAGCTAATTCTGTCGATAGCGTCTACAGTCTACACAAACCCTCTTCGCTCGTGGCCATGAATTTCAGTTTCAGAAAGCGTCTGTAGCAGAACATGAAGCGAGACAAACTAAGCGTGGAAGGTTAAAAATTTTTTCCCCCAAACTTGCTGAGCTCAACAGTTTAAGAAAAGCCTAACTACATTCATGCTCCAGCTGACATAATTGCTTCCAGAATGCTTGAAAATTTAAGGCGTAGGTATACATAGTGCGTTATTGTCTCTATATCCAAAAAATATATGCCAACCTTTGTGAGTTAGTTAAGGAGAAATACTGCTTTGCCAGACTAGTTTGATGTGATATTCATGATGGAAAACTCTTGCTTCATTTATCATCAAGACCAGGCATTATAACACGAAATGAGCTTTTGGAGCGAGTGGCGCGATGTTCGGGTCAGGTCTGGATCACCCGCTAGGGTCGGGTAACGTCGGTCTGCCCCACCTACCCACTTCTTTGGCAGCTTATCCTCCTTGAACCACCCCATGCAATACCTCCTTCTCACCTCTTCCTGCTCGATCTTCTTCTCCTAGCCGAGAGTCTCCACTCCAACCCCGGCCCGCGCCTCTGTTCAGTCTGCACCCTCCCGGTAACGTGGCGAGGATACTAGATTCTGTACTCCAGGTGCAATACCTGGACCCACAAGCGGTGTTCCGACCTTCGCTCCTTGCTTCTCTACTACGACATGGTAAAGCTCGTCAGCGGAGCTGCCAGCCATTTATCCGCCTGGGGTTCAGACGGCCTCACGGTCCTCCACTTCAAGCACCCTGGCCCCCACGGGTTCCAATTCCTTACCCGCCTCTTTAACATCTATGTTTCTACGGCCTCTATTTCAGCTATCTGGAAAAATTAATAATTATTCCTATCCTCAAGCTTGGTAAGACTGGTAACCAGATTTCCTCATACCACCCCATCTTCCTCCTCTGCCCAGCAGTCAAGATCCTGGAACGACTCCTACTCCCGCACATATCGGCATCCCTGTCCACCGTTCCCTCGCAACACGGCCTCAAACCGGGCCACGAAACTCACGACGGCCCCCAGCCTGCACAGTGGCAGCTACGGTCGACCTATCTGTACCCTTTCCTTCTTAGCATGGTCGCAGCCTTGGATTTCCACCACAATCTGGTCCGCTGGCTGTGCTGTTATCTGAAAGGTAGGCTGGCATCCTGCCTTCACCTCAGTACGCTATTTCCCTTCAGAACAAATTCACTCAGGAGTCCCACAAGGTTCGGTTATCTACCATGCCCTATTCAACCAATTCATCTCAGACATTCCAGTACCGGTCTCCAATATTGCCTCTAGGCTTGATGCTGCGGAGGCTGACCTCGCTGGATTTATTCGGGACGTCTCCGATTGGTCTGCCTCCAAGAAACTAGCCGTGGCACCGGCAAGTCATCCGTCACGCTCTTCACTCCGGACTCCCATCAATTACGCACTCACCCTCCAGAAACAATCTGCAACGGCATCATCGATCTAGACAAAACCCACAAAATCCTAGTCGTTACATGGGACGCCCATTTTACCTCACGTTAGAGCTATAGCCACAAAAGTGACGGGCTCTCTGCAAATTCTAAAAGCCCTGGTTGTCACCTACTGGGGTTTCTTCAAGGAGGATATCTTCGCCACCTACCGGACAATCATGCGCCTAGCCCTTAACTACGCTGCCCCATCTGCTACACTGTTGCCTCATGCACTACAATAGAAAGCCTCCAAACTATCAAAAGCACAGCTCAAAGATTAGCCACTGGCTGCCTCAAAATGGCCCCAATTGCCCATCTCCACAATGAGACTGGCGCTCTCCTCCTGCCGCTCACCTGGACGTGGCTTGCGCTCAGTTCCTCGCCAGCGCACTCCAGCCCACTCGTTATTCGTTCCACATTGTCTCTGCTCCCGTCGGGGACCGTCCCAGGAAAGCCTCCCTCATGTCGAGATTTGGCCACTTTGTTGCGCCCTTTCTTGATACGGCATCATGCCAACGGTACCTATGGAGAAGCTAAGCGCTCCCTCCGCAGGGAGGTCGCCTCCCGAGCTATGGCGTCCGCCGAGAACAACACTGTTCTTGCGACCCGACCTCCACCGATTGCATCAGGAGATGCTTCGCTCCCTCGCCCCAACCGATCTGCCCTATCCCAGCTCAGTTCGGGAGGCCGTTATAGTTCCCTGGCGTCCTACACTTTTAGGGTCGGACGCTCCCCAGCGCCACCTGCCTCGAGTGCGGGGACCCCCTCCAGTCTGTCCAGCGTCTCATCGCCTGCTCCCTCTTCCCCATTACCCTCAGCGTCTCCTCATTGTGGGAGTCTTACCATGTACACGTAGCGACCCAAATATACGTAGCGACCTAAGTACACATAGAGGCTGATTGGTAGGTTTAGCTTGAATAGCTGTAGAATTAGTGATTAGCCGATTGAGTTGCGAACTCACTGCTAATTTGGGTAGTATGCCCTCACTTATGGAACCGTCGCTCTGGAGGTGTGAATTTGATCGATTAATATCAGGACGGTGCGATGCTTTGCGGTTGTCCGTTTCTTATTGACTTTATTTTCAGTTCCTGAAGTTCTATGATCCCTGCAAGACCAGTGTTGCCTTCTTCGTCACCAGCATTAGACGACCTCCACTTCGAGAAAACGAGGTAAGCAACGATGTTATTTATCTTATTAATATTTATACTGATACTAATTAACTGCTTGTCAGCTCTCTAGAAACTACTCTCGCGAAGCTGGTTGTCAATAACTCGAGTTAGTTTATCTTATCACTTCGAGTATGTGAGAAGTTCTGGAATCAGCGCGTTAATTATCGTAGATCTTATTCATTATTCAACACTTGCTTCCTTTCACTTGACGCTGTCCATATTCCGTGTTGTCTTTTTCTAATTCATGCGTGTATTAATTGCAAACTTTTTCCCAACTAAATGTTCACAATTTCGATATTGCTTTAGCTGCCAGATAATTTGTTTCTGACAATGCATCGCATTTGAGTAAAACTAACGCAGTTGCTGCTGCCGTTATAATATCTACTGATGATTTACTTGTACCACTCATAAGGAGGATGAAAATAAACCCTGACACTGAGCTGAAAATTTTCAAGAGGATGTACCCAACGACCTCTGTGTTTGGGGCCTTCGCGTGGTATGAGATTGGCTACGAGTTTCTGCCTCATCCTCGCGGTGAGAAGTTGTACATTGGATATGTTCTTCTCACTCAGTCTCATTCATGTTTGATATTTCAGTAATGTCGTCCACAAATTTATGAAATTTCAGACAAATTTCTTCGAAACTTCTGTTCTAAATTTATTGAAATATCACTTGCTGATATTAGGACATCAAAATTTGAAAATTCTGAAGATACAGCCGAGCTTTTAAAAAAAGTGCGCGATAAATTTATTTTCAGGAGTCTGGAACTTTGATGCTATAAATTGAACCTATTTTGACGAATATCTATTTTATTTATTGTTTATAGTTTAGAATATTTTTGGTAATTTTGTCTAAATTTTTTTTTCCACAAAAATTACTCTCCATACCTCAACCGTTATTGAAATTATTACCTTATCTCATGTATAACCTGTATTCCACTGCGTATGAAAACTAAAATTAATTAATTTATGCAATATTAAAATGGCCGTGTTTTGCTAAATTCGAAATCGATTAGAGAATTTACATTTTATTTGTAAGCTTGATTTTCAATTTCTAAACGTGAGTTGTGTTTCACTTTACAGGCAGCGTCGAATGGCAACTGCAGCAAGAGAAGAACGAGGAATTTGTGTCTATGTCAACTCAACGATGCGATCATTGCAATCGATGTAACAACGATCCAATCGAGCATAGAGAATCGATTGCGATTTTATTTCTCCAGTTCTAGCGACTGCAATTTTATTTCTCCAGTCCTAGCGACTGCAATTTTATTTCTCCAGTTCTAGCAACTGCAATTTTATTTCTCCAGTTCTAGCGACTGAAATTTTATTTCTCCAGTTCTAGCGACTGAAATTTTATTTCTCCAGTTCTAGCGACTGCAATTTTATTTCTGCAGTTCTAGCTGCAATGGATGGATCATATTGTCCAAATAAAGACGCTCTTTCTGCACGTACCTCTGATATGATCTTGTTTCACACCGAATTGGTTCAGGATGACCCGCACAATGGCAGAATGTGCGTCGCTATTTGGTTAGGTCTCTCTAAGGGAGTTTAGGTACGATTGGAATCTATGGACCTGGCGGATCTATGTGGGAATGGGAATCTATCACATTCCCATTAAATAGAATGGTTTGCCTTCAGGCATTTGATAGATTAGTTTCCGGGACTGTACCTAACCTTCAATGTTTATAAGTTACTTGAAGAGTGCGACAATGCATCCCAAAATTTTCCTCAATTACACTTCCGCATTGCCTTGAATCGTAGTTCTGACTAGTATTCACGTATCGGACAACGCCTAGTATTCATAATAAATGTTTTATTAGCGAGTGGCGAGTTGAGAGCAGTATATACCTTGTGCAGGGCGATTTGTGTTTCATTGATTTCAATTACTGCTTGGTAAGTTTTTTTGTTGTAAGTTGACAGGTTTAGGCGCTTTTGTTGGCATATCAAGGTTGCATGAATTTGTTTTAAATACAAATCAGTCTTTCTTTTCTCCTTAGATATTTTTATGGTTTACCTTGTAAACTCCAACTCCTCTTGCCAACCTCAAAAGGAGTTGGCAAGATACGACTAAGCCCAATTTAATTAAATCTGCTGCCGAAATAGGAGAGGTTGATGCAATTCTGTAGTTAACAATTTCCGACGCTATGATTATGAACGCGTTCAAGAAAAGACTAGACAATGTTATGCAGCCGTATATGTTCAGACTTGAAGTGAAAACATCCCACCACGGACCTGGTGAAAACACAGTAGTTATTCAATTCAACGTCAGTTTGAAAAGATCTTGTCAAATACAAGTTTTGATATCTCATATGTACAAGCCAGGAGAGTTACAAAAATCAGCGACAGGCAGAACTTGGCCCATTCTTCAGTCCCGGCATTACTTTGGGTTTGGTATACTTTCACTTCGATCAGCATTTTATATTTATATTTTAAACTGATTTATATTTATATTTAAACTGATTGATTTCTAATTTTCGATCAAAAAGATCACATATATTCGATGTATTATCGATATATATTTGTCAGATATTCAATATATAAAAATATTCCATCATACAATATTAGAAAATGAAAATCGAAATTTACGGTAGGCCGGATCGGGGTCTGGTCTTTCTTACTTGTGTGGTTGTGTCACAGTGTCAGTCCTACACTCGTAAAAGGGTCAGCCAGGCAGGAAAAGAAAGCGCACGCTAGCGTAAGCGTGCTGAAGCGAGCAAGCGACCATATTATATTCAAACAATCCCATAGGGGTGGCCAGATAAGACGGGTGCTCACGCTAGCACGTGCTGAGGCTCGAAGGACGAAGCTTGTAGATTTGTTTAGTTAGATATACAAGCGCAACTGCGCAAACAGTCCACCACCAACTACGCACCAAGCACGCGCGTATGCCGTCAGCCGTGTAGTTGCCCCTGAGGTCGCCACTCGCCTGGTCGTGTCGAGGTTGGATGTCGAAGCTTTGATCAGCTCCATCCATGATCCAAGCCGTGCCTGCTATCTGGGACGCCTCGCACCCCAAGCTGGCCAAGCACAGTGATCGACTGATCGTCAGTACTGACCGTACATCAATGACAGCAGGTCGCAGTCGCAGATATGTGATGCATTGAGTATTCCGGGTAAGGTCAATAAAACATCATTTTGTTTCATTTATATATATGTACTAGTAGTTTATTTGTAGTAATCTTATATTTATAATCTACTAAATCTAGATGTATGCCTGCCATGGAACACTCCCAACTGGAAAGTAGCTATAATAAACGCGGTATATTCCGACACATTAAGGACGTATCAAAAAATGAATGGCTATAAAAAATCACCGTATGCGCAAGTGCGCAACTCGAGTTCTGTTTGCTTACCGCTTGCGTCACTCTCACAACACCACACTACGCGCAAGCAACAATGAAACATCACAAAATGTACCCATCTTTATTTAAAAGCCTTTTGAATGCAAATCTACCAATTTACCAAATCCATGGAGAAAGTCAGTTGCTTTCACGGCGATAGCACGTCTGTCATTTGAGCTCTCTAAAAACCGGTGAATTTAATTTTAAAGTATTAGCTTTTGCACTTGCTTAAAATAATCATTTTCAAGTTATTTCTCTATAAAACACGACTGGCTTTCTCCCTCAGAGGAATATCTTTACTTGCTTGAATTACTTATACACATTTCAAACTACCTATATTGGATGAAACATGATAAATCAATATACCAACAGTAAATAACAAAATTTGCTCAAATCAGATATATCAGCAATACCTACACTTGTCAAATGTTCAATGAACCATCATATTCATTATATCAAGTAATCACCAAACAATTAAATACATATGCGCCCCACGTTTTTCGTTTTAGATGTTGTAAAATATTTTAACTGAAATACAAAAGACCAAGAGAATGAAAGCAAACAGAGATCAGTAGCTGCCGTAAAATTATTTTCTACTTTTGAGTCCACATGAAAAACGTGGTCTTTAAAATTTTTTTTACACATTTTATTTTCTACTTTTTAGTTTTTTAAAGTATTATATTTTCTCCTTTTTAGTCCGTTGCTACACATGAAAAACGTTGTTGCGAGCCAATTTACTTGACTTGATGTACGTATCGATGATACGCAGCGTATCATCGATATACGCAGTCTAAACACGAATATCCTCTTGAGGATGACGTGCATTTAAAGGTTCCCAAACCCTTGCTTGTGAGTTCCTGTAGAGTTTATAACTAGTGCACAAAGGTCAACCATCCTACATAATATTCATTTTATTTCAGTTGGCCACGCAAATGCACGAAAGAAAATTCTTTTCGAAGTTCTGTAGAAAATTGTATTCGAGGGGATACATTGTTGTTCCCGTATTTATCTGGGTGCGTGGCTGTAATAAAGAAAGGTTCGGAAATAAATACGCCTGGAAACGTGCAACAAATTATTGATTATTGTATTGTTATCGGGAGCTGAGCTTCCCTAAAAGTTTCAGAGTGCTAGCTAGTGGGAAAGTTGGTGAAATATCGATTGCAAGATTTGATCATCACAGACAGACACGAAAGCGAGCTAAGAAAAACGTGGTAAAAACTCTCTGCTTTGCCACTATGCTTGCTGGGTCAGGTTTTGGTCCTCCAGAGTCATCTGGAGTGGTGGAGACTGGTGAGTTGGTTGAGATGATGGAGAGTGGTGGTGTAGCTTCTGGAGTCTTTGTTGTTGAGAACTCAGACCCAGACAGTGACAGCATCATTGAGGCTACCCCTGCCGTTTCTGCTCGAAAGCGCAGGAACCGTAACTCGGGTGGTTAAAGTGAAAGTCTTCCTGGCAGTAGAGCAAAACGCGCAGCTGTGAATAGCAAGAGGCTACCGGTCTTTGGTGCATCAGTACAAGGACATGAACATCCCAATGGCAGTCAGTGTTGAGTGGTGGCAAAGTTGCCATCAAATTCGAATTTTCGGAGTGCAGGTTCTGGTCAGACCATTTTGGTGAAGGCTCAGGGACCTAATGCTCTGAGTTTCCTGAAGGATCCAATTGGCCTTGCTCAGGGTATCAAGAGCTCTCCTTTTGGGAAAGTTAGTGATTTGAATGTGCGCACTAATCCTTGGCGCCAGCTGATTGCCTTAGAATCACCATCTTTTAGAGGGAGCCAGATGTCCAACTTCCTATCAGTGTGCATGATTGGAAAACTGTCTCTTATACACATCTAGATGTGTATAAGAGACAGGCCTTGAACCTACCAATTTACCAAATGGTATGTTGGTAACTTGGTGCAATGGACTTCTATCCCTCAACTCAGACTTTTTGAAATTGAACCCTTTTTTTGTACAAAGCAAATAAAGTGGGCACTGGGCTAGTCCCACCATCCCATCTTACCCCACTGGGGTTGGGGTAAGATGGGTATGGGACCAGCCCGACCAGGTTGGGGTAAGACAGGACCAGGCTCTAAATTCAAGATTTCTAGGCTATTAAGCAAAGTAAGGACTTGATATTTAATATTATTCATCTACCTGGGAGCTGTCCTCAGCTCTTGGAGGTGGTGATGCCCCAATGAGGAAACGCACTGCTGGCATCCATCTCTTTGGTCAATATCTGCTTAGCTGCAATGTGGTGACCAGGCTGTGAATAAAAAAGCCTAATTTTAATTTTCTTTTCACAATTTACTGCCACACTGGCTGTGAAAGTGCTAGCTAGGAGGTAAAGAGATCTAGAAGTCGAGTGAAGTGTCCAAAACCCCCAGTTGTGCTCAGGCTGGGAGGTGTGCTACCTGCATACCCGAAGCCTTCAAATCAAATTATAAAAAAAAATACCAAATCCATATATTCAGTATTCCGAACGGCGAATGCTGTGTGTTACTAAATTTGGCATTTTGTAAGACTAATTCCAGCCGCACTTCAAACTCTACTAATTCGTAATTCCGACACTCTTGTGTTCGAATTCCGATTGCTGTGTGAGCTGTTTTGCACTATTGGAAATTTGGAATACTGAATACAACACAGCTCAGAATTAGAACACTATTGAATATTGAACACTACTTAATTAGGCTATTAATTAAGAGCTATTAGGCTTTTAATTAAGAAAATTTTAATTTTTGCACACAGCTTGGAAAGAGCTGCTCAGCTGTGTTGGAATTAGTTTTTATGTGTCTAAAACTGTCTCTTAACTTAATCACCTATTAATTTATTTACCACTTGAAATCAGCAAATACAAGTATACTTAAAGGATTCCTAATATATTCACAGACTTACCGTCAAACAGGGTAAAAAGGGACGGTTTTGAGCATTTTTTTAATAACTTCTTACCATGAAACATTTCAGAAACAAGTTTAGGCTCATTTTATAGCTCTTTATAAGGGCTATCAAATGGCATATTAAAAAAAATTCCATATGCTATTCGTAAGGTGCCAGACGCAAAATAAAACCATCCCGATTTACCCCTGGTAACAGGGTAATCCAGGACACTGAGGACACTTGCAATAAAAGTTAATTTTAAAATGTTTGAAGCATGCAGAGTGTACTCATGTATTGCTAACAGTACTCGGAAGTCCTCCTCTTTCATTGTAGATGATGTAGATGTAAAATAAATGACATTTTCTGTGATTTTTACTTGTTTTTCCTTTATTGATATGATATTACCAAAGGTATTCATTAATTACCATATTAATAATACTGTATCCATGGACATGCCATTGAGCATTGACAATTACCTTGTCCACTGCAAGCTTCATATCAGCAGCTGTGTAGCATTTCTTCTGTATCTGTAAGCTTACAGGATTCTTTGTAATTTTGCACAATTTTAATCGAGTCAAGTGATTTCACTATAACAAAAAAGATTGTGAAAAACATACCTGAAACAGAAAATAATGTTTTAGTGACAACCATCATATGTTTTGGAGAAATAAATCATAGTTTAGGTCAATTACTTTTCATTCTATGATGCCCGGTGCACAATTCTATCCTGTAAAATGGGGCAACTTAGACCACTTTTTTTCTTATAAATGATGCCATTTTCTTACTAGCTAAATTAAACTTGAATTGAAACATGAGAGTTATTTAACCAAAAAATAAAAAAATTGGAGGGGGTACTCAGACAGGCTTTAAATAATAGCTTTTTTTTGTGGGTCACGTTTTTAATTTTTTAACCTATTAGATATGCAAACTTTTTAAATCTTTCTATTGTGTTATGTAGCCTCAGTATTAGGCCTTTAATGCCCATTGACAAAATTTTTCTATGTCAAATAGTTTTTGAGTTGTGGGGGTTTTTGTAAAAAAATCGAAAAGTGGTCTAAGTTACCCCGCCGGTCTAAGTTACCCCATTTTACGGGACCATATATAGCATTCTATGTACAATTTTGTGACGACCAATGATGCACTAATTTTTCGATAAGTGAATTTTTTTTTGCTGAGCAAGGTGAATGTAATCAAAATTCTTTGTTGTTAATCAATTTTTTTGTTACCTGGAACCTTTGCTAACTGAGGTTCTGCTGTAAATGCATTTTTAAGGGTGTCCCTAATTACCCCAGGGGGGTGTCCCGAGTAGCCCTGCCGTGCTGAAATGGCTGCCATTTTTTTTGGAATGAGATAGGACAATTCCATCTATTACGATTTCAAGCCGACACCTGGGTGCAACTTTTATGTAAGTGAAATTTTTTAATACAGCGAATATTTTTTTTTGCTCCAGACCTTAGCAGAGGTACTTTTCCAAAATCGCACTTTTCACACTTTTTTTCAGCGATTTTTTAGAGATAGTAAATGTTTGATTTCAGGACTAGCTTTATATATGCATTATAGATAGTAAAAATGTTGAAGTTTATGCCACTATTTTTAGTTTTGCAATATTTTGATTAGTTTAGCTGCTACAATATTTCTACAAAATGTGGGACACGTGTCCCGATTTACCCCACCCATCCCTTTTTACCCCGTTTGACAGTATATATATAGTAAAATATTTATATTTAAATATTTATATTTAAATATATATATTTAAACTAACTGAAACTCTTGGATCCACCTTGTCTTAGTTACAGATTTTGCCACTGAGCTATGCTCTGGCACTTATTATAACTTGTATCATATAGGTATACAACTTAATATGTAACTTGTTATTTCATTTTTTGCAGAGAATTTTAACGTGGAAAAATGTCTCCTAGTGTGAACATATTTTCAAAGTTATTGAGACCAAGTTTTAATTGTTGGCTTATATGTTCACAAGGGAATATGTTGTCAACAACGGCTGTAAATAAACTAAATTGTGGGCTCAAGTGTCAAAATGTAGTAGTGTCAAAGCACGATTCTCTAAATAGGCACAGCTGGTTATCATGTAGAGCTATAAGTATTAGTAAACAACATTGTTGTAAAAACACAAGGACTGAAGTGTACTGTTGGAAATGCCAGAAACTGCTCAGTGGTGATGAGAGATTTTGTCCATCTTGCAATATCATTCAGCCTTTAAAGGATGGCTTGAACTATTTTGAACTGTTGGGTGTAGAAAAACAATTTTTATGTGATTGTGAACATCTTGCTAATCAGTTTAGAAATCTTCAACGTCTTTATCATCCTGATAAGTTTGCTTCAGCATCTGAAGTGAGTCTCGAAATGAGAGATCATTGTGAGTATTTTTATCAATATCACACTCTTATTCTGTATACCATCTTTATTTCTCTGGCTGATTTAGTAAATTTTGTTATTTTATTCCTGCAATTCCAATTTATTGTCAGAAGTTCTTTTGATTTTGTGTTGAAACTTGAGCAATATTTTTATACATGGAAATGATACAATAACATTGTGAAGTTAACCATCTATTCCAAGCTGTGTTGACCTCATTGGAATTTTCCAGTTTTTCCAGTCAGATATTTCTTCCATTCCAATTTCCAGTCAAATATTAATGAATTTTAGCCTCCTGAAATAGGTATGGTATATATATGTGGGGGCATCATTAGACAGAAATTTGTTACTATCAACATCTTGAATTTGAATATTGTTGACAAGTTACAAAAGTAGGTGATACAAACCATTGAGTATTTTAATTAATTTTGGTGCCAACGCAATTACTTTGTAGGTATTGATTTTAATCTGATATTTCACTTGTATCCCTCACTTAGAAATTCTCAAAATTGTTCCATATTTGAAATTTGTATCCAAAATACATGTATATGATTTGACCTATCATGTCTAGAATTACTTGACTTTAACCCAACTGTATTGAAGTTTGTTCACCTAGTAAAGGCCTGTAGACTAAATTAGGTACAAGCATTTTAATAAAGTGGCCTGGTGGGTACAAGCATTTTCAAACCTAGATATTAAATAGAATTTTGACAGAGTCAAGGAATCAAGAATGAGCTCATCTCTAAAAAATCTATTGTTTGCATCATGTTAAAAAAATTATTTTTTTTTTATTGAGGGGTTGATCTTAATTTTAAATTATAATTGTGAGTGTAAATAAATTGAAGAAGGCATTAAAGTAATTTTGTCCCACAGAAAGAACAGGAAATATCAGCAAGCTATTCCAGCGCCATCAACAAGGCATATCAGGTGCTGAATTCAGCACTCGCTAGAGCTCAATACCTGCTCTCTCTTGAGAACCTGTCACTGCAAGAGGATCATGTGAGTTCTCTGTCAATTGATTGAGATTTATTTCATCACTGTCTCATAATATTTATTGATCACATCATGTGTGCTATTGTATTCCATTTAATTTTGTGTATATAACTAATGGTATTTTCTTCAATAGGTACTGCCTCAGGATTTTTGTTGATTACTTGATGTGCGATATATGTAGTGTAGGTACATTCTATTACGTACACCCATCATACGCTCTAATACCAAATAAAAGTTGTTTCTGTACAAGATTCCTTGATATTCTATATACTGGTATACTTGATTTTCATATTATTTATAGTCTCACTTGTATTATGTAATTAGTTTATTTTCCATTACCAAAATAGGCTAATTTTTTTCAGTAGCAATCTAAGTGGTCCCAAACTATGCTTGATTGACACAATTCAACAGAACAAACCCAAATAAACCAAGCAATTGAACCAGGTTACTTATGCTGTGTTTCTATATGAACTTATTGATGAAATTTTGATGTCCAAATTTCTAGCTCAGAGCTCTTTTCAAGGTACTAGTAGGTACTAATATCTTATAATGATATTGCCATTCCCCTCCATGATATTGCCAATAGATTCTAAATTGCAGTGAAAAATATCTCCTTGTGGAACAGATTGACATGGATAAGGAGTTCCTGTTAGAAGTTATGGAGCTCAATGAGGAGCTTGCTGGAGCTCAAACTGAAGCCCAGATTGCCGAGCTCAAGCAAACCGCACAAGGCACGTTTGATGACCTCATGGGGTGAGTGCTATACAAAACTGGCAGCTCAAGTGCACCACACAACACATGTTTGATGACCTCATGGGGTGAGTGCTATACAAAATGATCTTGATCTTGAAAATTCATCATATTGCTATGCTTGGGATCCAATATTTTATGTTGACTGTGATGATCTTTGAAGGTGTCCTTCCAGCTCAGTTTGGCTTATTGATGCATATTGTCATGCCCATTCCTTCAATAACTTCAAACTATTTTTAGAATGTAAGACACTTTTCTCCAAAGATTGCTTTCCCATTATAGCCACGTTGAAATGTTCAATAACAACACACATTTGCCATAGCAGCTGCCACTTATTGTTTAGAATTTTATCTTAACATTAATAGTTAGTCAGAATATGTATTTGATTGCAGGGATTACGTTTAAGTGGAAACTTTTCCTCTCTAGCTACATCAACACACCCTCCACTGCATCTACTTTTTTTAAGATTTTGTTTTAAACACTAAATAATAATAAAAGTATATGACACACCATAAAGACTGTATTAAAGTTTGTACTACGTACTAGTCAGGATGCCACTAATTCTGAGTTCAAGGTTTTTGCAACCATGGTGTAAAACCCTTTGTTCTGTCCTCAGATTGGCAAGTTATTACTCATGATCTTGTAGCCTGTACCCAAGTCTGTCCAAGGTCTTGCAGTTCTCAGCCTTCACCTTAAGTGGAAGTTTTCCTCTAGCGCCTTGAGACTGCTTTCAGAAACAACACACCTTCCGCTTCTTGTTTAGGATTATATTTTGAACATTAAATGATAATGAGAGTATTTAATGTAAGTTTTATTTTAAATATAAACTGCTAATAAAATTATTTGAGGTAAATATTAACTGCAAGCTTTGTCCCTCTCTAGCCACATCAAGACTGCATTCAGGAATAAATATCTCTATGCTGCTGCTGCTTATAGTTTATTATTATATTTTCCTCATATTTTGAATAATTTCAAATTTTAATTGTTGAATGCTGATGAAAGTATTGATGTAAGTTCCATTTTCAGCATTTGCTGCCAATAAAAGTATTTTAAGCAAGTATAGATTGTAAGCTATGCTTCTCCAGCTGTGTTGAGACTGCATCCATGTACAACATATCCTCCACTGCAGTCGCTTATTATTAAAGATAACATTTTAAGCCTTTAATTTTAAAGATTAAATCATTTCACTGCTGATAAAGTACCTATTAATTGACTGTAGCAACTGACGCCTTGAGTTTTTTACGTGTTCGCACGTAGAAAGCTGCTTCAAAATTGTTTATAATTTATTGTTGTCCTGTAGGAAATATTTTTAAAGTGTTTGAATTTATTTGATTACATACCTTTAAAATTTTCCTTTAAACGTTGATGCATTTGTCGAAAATCGCCGTTCGAAACGTAAGAGAAATGAAATAATAACTGGATTTACAAATATATAATATACTCGTGTGGGATATATATATGTACGCTTCTCAATCGTAGCAAACTTTGTATGATTGAATCTTCATCATTATTTTTATTTGCTATGTGAAGATAAAAGTGAGCAACAGATCTTGAACGGGTTTGTGATCAGGAAGTTCTTTGCAAACATAACAATAATGAAGTTTGCCATAAACTTCAATAATGAAGTTTAATAAATATGAATTTTGTCTCTCTTGAAGGGTTTACCGCGTAATTCAGGTTTGGCAGGTTAACGGGCTAAACAGGTTAAAGAGGCTAAACAGGCTAAACAGGTTCAGCGCTTAATTGATGCCTGATGCAATGGGCACGGGGCATCAAAAGCTTTTGATGCAAGGGCATCACGATCCCTCCCTCCCGGAGTGTAAAAAAATTGATTCATACACAAAAAAATATCAGCCATCAATAATAATAATATCAGTTATTGAAAGTTGTGAAAAGATTTGTTTAAAGGGCCATTTCTTAGATCTGAAAACGTCACCAAAAGTAAAAGAATCGGCAATAGGCGCCGATATCTCTTCAGCACCGACACAACTATGCTATGGTATACTATACTACCTATACTATACTTTTCCTTACTATACTATGATACCTATACTATTGATAAGAAATGCTCACTAATCTTCAACGAAACTTGCATGAAAGAACTATAGGTACTAATATTCGCCTTTGTTAACGAACTACTTATGTCTGGAAATTAAAGGACCACAATAGTTCAGTGCGACAAAATTGTATTTTTTCATGAGTAGTTTTACGAATAGATTATTTAACAAATTCAGGGCAGATTTATTTTGAAATCTTTTTTCTTGAAAAGCCTGAGTAACGGATCACTAAGTTCTTATTGGTATCAATAGATTGATGGTATTGATACATAAATAGTTATTATTATAAAAATTATTACCTATCTATCTAATATCTTATGATAACGTTGAGATCGCTTCTTCTTTTTTTCGGTTGAATTTTGCTAGGATAAAAGTTTAAGAAATTCATCCTGCAATCCAGAGTGGCCAAGTGGTTATAATTCAGGGGGACCTTAACTGAGTTGTGGGTTCGATACCAGCAGCCAACTGTATAAAGTTCTGGTAGAAAATCGGAAAAGTAACCTGGCGGTTAAGCACAGTGGATATTAGAGAATTGAGTTGCGTCTTCGAAACCTAAATAGGCTGTGAGAATTCTGCGATGTTCAGGATTTTTGACAGTGTAATGGCTTAATTTGCAAGTCAAACACCGTTAATAAATAATATCTTGTTTGAAGTATCACTCAATCTCATTCTTAATATCATTCTGCCCGAATTGCAGTGTAAATTCTTTTCGTAATTTTCTGCCAGTATTTTTTCGCGATGAAACTGAAGGGTTTATGAAGCAAGTAGTGAGTTAAATCTTTGCAAACCATTTAAAACGAGACAGAAGTGCATTTAATGGAATTGAAATTCACAGGTTTTGACTGAATAGATCAGTATATCTAACAAGTTTCTCATACTTAAACATTTTTATAATCAAAATACTTTATTAGGAATGTATTTAATGAATTTACTTAAATAGTCACTTGTTATTGGCACCAGAAATTAAGTGATTTTTTATTTGTACCGTCAGCCTAATTATCGCCATGGTGCCTTCTGCTTCCAACAAGGTGAGTGATTACTCGTTGGTGAATAATCCTACACTCAGAGAAATGAGTGAGACGATGTCCAAATAGCGATGCACTTTTTGCCTCTGTTAGAAGGTCTTTTTGCCTCTGTTAGAAGTTTTGCCTGCTATCAGTGCTACGTGCAGAAAGTGTGTCAATATGAACAATATGAGCTTTTCATTACTGTGAGTGAATGCTGTAATGAACGCATTTACCCGTTGATTGGTTTCAAGGGATAAGATTGTAATTTGTTTACTAATTTGTTAACAATTAACTGTACAGTGATTGGCACTCGTGACTACAAGAAAGTACCTATGCAATTTATTAAAACTTAATTGGCGATTTATTGTTGTTGTTGTTGATACAACAACAACAAAAAAGTACCTATTAAATTAGACAATTTGATTCTATAAATTATCGAAAGACTTGATACCGTTGACAACGAAGTGCCATTAGTAACACGATATGTAGAGATATTGTCGCTGCCAGAATACCGTACGGTAGTGAAAAAATATTTAAATGCTAATAGACGAAAAGCAATGAAAATTATACCAGTTTAGTTGAATCAATTAAATTATTTATTATTAATATAATAAGTTATCTTCTACTGCGTGATATTTCAAGCACTTACATGACACTAACTTTCTTCCCTACAGCCGTCGCTGTCGCGGCTGGAAGTGAACTTCCTGCGCGTGTTCCGCGAGACGCAGCAGATGGCGAGCGGGGCCAAGCCTCGCAGCTGGTCTTTTGAAAAGGTGAGAACCATCTGGTGTACATTTATACCAGCTGGTGTACATATATACCAGCTGGTGTACATATATACCAACAGCTGGTGTAGTGGTGAGATGTTATACCAGCTGGTGTAGTGGCGAGATGTTATACCAGCTGGTGTAGTGGCGAGATGTTATACCAGCTGGTGTACTGGCGAGATGTTATACCAGCTGGTGTACTGGCGAGATGTTATACCAGCTGGTGTAGTGGCGAGATGTTATACCAGCTGGTGTACTGGCGAGATGTTATACCAGCTGGTGTACTGACAAGGTGTTATACCACCTGGTGTACTGGCGAGATGTTATTGGTTCCTAGCACCACCTGTTGGCACTGTTGAGAACTGTTGTCAGCTCGTATATGAGGTCAAGTGAGCACAAAACGCCTGTTGGTACTGTTAAGTTCTGTTATTGGTACATTAATTAGGTCAGCGCTATCTGTTGGTACGTTAATCTCTGTTACTGGTCACTGGAACCAAGTGTTTGTACTGTTAAGTTCTATTATCGGTACTTTAATTAGGGTAGCGCCACCTGTCAGAACCAGCGTTTTTAGCCACCTGGCATCGAGCTGAGGCCCCTATACAATTTATTGCGTAATCAAATAGATTCATTTGTTTTACTTGCCAGTTACTTGCTTAGTAAATATAAAAAAATTATCTCTTAAGATTTTCTTTTCTTCTAATGCTTAAAATCTGGTGAAATTAGTTTAATTGCTGTAAAAGGTTGAACGCTGAACCGGGTACTATGATGATTTGTTGTGCAAAGTCGATATTGATGGGTGATCATGAAAATACAATGATCTGTTGTAAAAATATTAAAAATTTTTAATGAATAAGTGTTTAAGTGAATATTTGTTGACCTATTTTGTACGGATACATCACTTGTCGTCAATGTTATTCGTAACTGAAATCCTTCTGCTTACGAAATTGGACAAGGAATTAAGTCTGGATGGATGCATTTGAAGGCGGCCAAAGAACTGCCAGTCCGTCACTCCACTGCCGTCACACCTCCATAAATATGGACTATGGAAAAGACTCATTGCACGTTATTTGGACGCCATTTTCCCTGCATCTGAAATTTCTGTCGTGAATTGTCTGACTTACAGAAGCTTCTTCAGATCAGAGAAGACTCCTTTTGAAGAGCAACTTTACGCTGAAAATTTGTTTGTGCCACAACGTGTGCGATAATTACATACGTTTATTCTAATAGGTTTTTTACGTGACGCGTGTTGGAAGTTTGGCTGACTCGTGCCTGTGCCTGTGCAGTTGCTGCGATGTCGCCGCCTCGTGGTGTTGTACGGCAGCGAGACTGGCACCGCTCAGCAGGTCGCCGAGAGGGTCGTCAGAGAGGCTCACCGACGACGATTTACCTCAGTCGTTCTGGAGATGAACTCTGCTGACGTTGATCTGCTGAGAGGAGCTTTCCCTGATCTGCAGGCAGGACTGTTGCCCCCTGCCTGCCTGTCGGACGCTTCCAAACAGCGCTTGAACGAGATTGTCCTGAGCGCCGTCAAGGATAAATCTTTAATTCAAAAAGTGTCACCTGCTTTTGATGGTGCATCAGCAGCGCAGACCGATTCGCGAATAATGTCTTCCGTCGAACATTTGAATTTGGTTTCTTCTGATGATAATTCTGCAATGGTACCTACTACTACGGCCCGTATTTTGCCTGTTCTGACTTGCAATGCGTTAGAGCCTACCGAGAACTCACAAGGATCCGGATTTGATGAATTTAATGATGTTTTTGAAAATAATTCCGTAATGGATGCGCTATACTCAGTCCTGCCACCGCTCTGTGTGGTATGCGTAGCCGCTACCACTGGCCAAGGTGACGACCCTGAAAACATGAAAAAGTTTTTTGAGAATCTCTGGAACCTGCGGTCGGATCGTCAGTTACTACGTGGGGTAAACTTTGGAGTGTTGGCTTTGGGCGACAGCTCGTACCAAAAGTTCAATTACAGCGGTAAGCGCATGAACAATTTGCTCCGTCTCCTCGGAGCTCAGCCTGTTCTTCCTATTGGTCTTGCCGACGACCAGCACGATCTAGGGCCAGACTTCGTCGTCGACTCGTGGCTTGCACAGCTATGGCAGAAGCTGGAGGAACTTTACCCACTGCCTGAAGATGTCGCGCCTATGGCTTCTCATGAACTTCCACCTCCTCGTTTCAAAGTTGAATTTCTAGATGAATTCGACTCAGAAACTTCTGCTGTTGATGAACCTGTAGGCTATGTTCAAGGTAATTTCACCTCATGCTCACTAACAAAAATAGAGCGTGTAAGCGCCCCTGGACACTTCCAAAACGTCCAGCTTGTAGAGTTCGACGTTTCGCATATGGAATACAAGCACAAACCTGGTGACGTGCTCATGATTAAACCTGAAAATCTGTCGTCTCACGTACAAGAATTCCTCGATGTCATTGGGTTGGATAGGTCTCGTAAATTTCGCGTTCGTCCATCTGAGCCGAACACAAACGTCAGTGATGTCCCTCCTTGGCTGCTAAGTGGTTGCACCATAAAAAAATGTGTCACTAAATACCTAGACATAATGTCAGTGCCTAAGCGGTACTTCTTCGAGCTTCTTAGCTTCTTTACCACCGATGAGATGGAAAAAGAGAAATTCCTGGAGTTTGCATCCTCTGTGGGACAGCAAGAGTTGTACGACTATTGCAACAGACCCAAACGATCCATCGTTGAAGTTTTGGCCGACTTTCCTCATGTTAATAAGAATATTCCTTTTGAATATCTATTCGACGTCATTCCTAGTCTGAAGCCGAGGGCTTATTCCATCGCAAGCTCGAGTGCTCTTATCCCTGGCAAGGCGCAAATTTTAATGGCTGTCGTAAATTACAGAACAAACCTGAGACGACCAAGACTCGGCGTTTGCAGCAACTGGCTTGCCGCGCTGCGGCCGCAAGACACAGTACTTTTAAGTATAAAGAAAGGATCCCTCAGGTTCACATTACCAAGCGAAAATGTCACTCCGGTTCCGCAAAACCATCAGACTTACGAACAAGTTACGGCACCACAAACTTGTTCACCACGCGATGGTGTTCAAGCATTGGAAGGGGCACATGAAGAGGAGAATTTTACCACTTCATCATCGCTGCCACCAGTTATTATGATTGCTCCAGGGACCGGAGTTGCTCCATTCCGGTCGTACATACAAGAGAGGATAGCTTTAGGCCTTACGTCTGCTCCTATGATCCTCTTCTTTGGGTGCAGAGGCAAAAACACTGACTTTTTCTTCGAAGAAGAATGGCGTCGGTATCACCCAAGTCTGGAACTTTATACCGCGTTCTCCCGGGATCAGGAGGACAAAATTTACGTTCAGCACCGCATCCGTGAACAAGCCCAGCGTTTATGGCCTCTAATTCATCAAGCCGATGCTCAGGTCTTCCTTGCTGGCAACGCCAAACGAATTCCTATCGACGTACACGAAGCGCTCACAGACGTCTGCAAATTTGGACTCTGTGACGACAAATTGGCTGACGTCTACATGAAGAATTCTTTGGGCAAACGATACCAAACTGAGACTTGGGCATAATTATTCGCTTATTTGTAACATGCAACGTAATTTAAATAGATTAATATGTTGCTGTATCTACACTGAGCATTTGTGTCAGGAAAAAAGATAACTCAGTCATATTTCTTCAAACGATTTAAGCGCTTGCAAATTGCTCAAAGCTATTCATTCTGAATGTTCCTGTTCAGTATATGAATTTACTCATTCCTTTATCAAATTGATTTGATACGGTACTCATCAAACTGAATCGAAAATTTTTTTCAATGGAGAGTGATGCCGTCTTCTGTCAGTTTGTCACTAGAATTTAGCGGGATAATTTCTTCAGAGTTTTCTTCCCTGGTCTGTGTGTAAGACTTTTTCAAGCTGAGATATTGCATGTAAAGTAGCAGTCGTCGCTGGCGGCAAACTGCCTTGTATCATAATTCTGGGATGTGAATTAACTGTAGTATTGTACAAATTGGTTCATTAAATACTTGAAATGGACAAGTTGTACGATTATTTTCCTCATTTCCTTTAATTCTATCATCCGTGAATATTATAAATTAGGGATAAGTCTTACTTGTTTTTTATAATTACAAACTAAGCTTATTTACCTTATCTACAACTTGTAGACCACAACAAAATATATTTCGCCTACTCTCGTATTTTTGATTGATTATATTTAATGTTGCACGTGCGACATTAGGGTGTGATGGCAGCAATATTTCGGTAATGAAAATTAACATTTGTTGCATCGTTACTCTACATTAGTTTTTTTTGGAGGTTGGACAGTGGTTACATTTTTAGGTACCGAACTTATAGCAGTGAGTTGCGGGTTCGAAACCTAGCAGTAAGAATTCTTCGATGTCCAGACTTGGCCACAAGCCAGATTTGGACTTTTTCAACGCTGATACCATTAATACTAAAGCAGCACGGACTATCCTTGTTACCAATGATTTAGCAAAAACGCTGTGCTCAGAAAACTACAATATTTTGTACTTAGCAATTCAATTCTGTGGAGTGAGTTTGTGCAACCGTCACCGTACCTCAGATCCCAATTATACACATATTATCGGTGCAAAGAGTCATTTTCTATCGGATAGTCTATCATTATCGTTTTATTTCGGATAGTCTACTACAATAATTATTTCCTTATATGATTAGTTTTCAGTTTTGCATATATAGTCAAGTTGAGTGCGTTCACCAGAGAAGTAAAGCTTAATCTTCAATATTAAGCTTAACCTTAACTTAACAATTAACAATAACTAACATAGCCATAACAATTCTTGATTGTAGGTCGGCCGCAAACCGACTAATGCAGATACAAATATTTGCGAAGTTCAACGAGCTCCGAGCTCGACGAGATTAATCAATTTCAAATCCCAATTCAATAATTATCCAATTTATAACTAAGAAATGTTTGCAACACTTATTACTGTCTTTTATGAAATTAGAGTTTCTACCCCTAATTTATTATAACATTTTTTATGTAATAACCCTCCTCCTGAAAAGTTCGTGGCAGAAATTTTGAGACAGGTTAGCCCAAGTGGTGATTAAAGTGACTTTTTGAGTCGAGAAGTCACACTTACTTTCCAAGTATGAAAGTCACGATTGACTTTCCAAGGAGAAAAGTCGCAATTGATTTTCCAAGTGGGAAAGTCACAATCGACTTTCCAAGTGTGAAAGTCTTTCAAGTATGAAAGTCACGATTGACTTTCCCAGTTGGGGGAAGTCAATTTACTTCCACATACAGCTTCTCGCAAATGTAACGTATTCTAAAATAACTATAAAAATATATTTACTGATTTGATGAAACATTGTTAGCAATTTTGAAGAGCTGAACGGTTAATTGTTAACCTTGTCCACAGCAAGTGGAATGGCTGGAGCGCACGCTACCGGAGCTCGAGAAAAGCCCATGGTAAGCTCATCGTAATTTATTTATCCATTTAATCTATTTTCCTATCAATATAACTTTTTGCTTTACATTTTGACTGCTATCTTCTATGAATAAACTATGCATAAATTAAAAAAAATTTAAAAATTCATTTTTTTGGCCACAAGGCGCCCAGGTTTTTTTTTAAATCTAAACTCATGTTATGGCTTCATAACTCCATGCTAACCATAGTCTAAGTTTGCTTCAAAGAATATTTTTACTATCATTAGCATTCAATATAATTATTATAAATTCATATTATATCTATCATCATTACTTTCACCATATAATTAGCATTACCACCAGAATTATCACCAATACAATTTTATATTAAACGTACTCATTTTCTGCAGAACCTTGAGCAATATAACTTCATATATTATGTATCAGCAGTGCTTTCAAAATGATAAGTGACGTTATTATAACCATCATAATACATATTGTACCTATAATGTTAATAATTGATATAACTATCATTATTACTGTTATATTTAACTAATATTTTACAGTCCGCCCGACAAGGAGACGCTGCTAGGCCACCGCCGCAAACTGCAGCAGCTGCGCACCGTTCTGGACGTGGATGTTAAGGTACCACACGCGGGACCACACGCGGTACCACACGCGGTACCACACGCGGTACCACACGCGGTACCACACGCGGTACCACACGCGGTACCACACGCGGTACCACACGCGGTACTACACGCGGTACCATACGCGCTGTCTCTTATACACATCTAGATGTGTATAAGAGACAGACATAATCCTTACCATTAATTCATCTTTCACTTCTATACATAATCCTTGCCATTAATTCATCATTCATTTCTATACCTAATCCCCACCATTAATTCATCATTCACTTGTATCACATTCAGTAAGCCGTCAAAGTCATACTTAATACCTGTTCCTCTTCCTGCCCACAGGCATGGTGCTCTTCATAAGGCTCTTCCCGAAGAGATGAAGCGCTACAAAGAACAGGCATTCACGAAACACTTATTTCCAGTTGGCGAAAGCATTTAATTACATTCGATTTACCAATAAAGTAGTCGTCAGTCTTGTTGTAATCAATCACTTACTTGCTATCAAGCGGACTTTGTTGATCACCGAAAAATTATATTTCTTGCAGCTTTCAATATATCTCATTTGGTAATTATAGTAATTATAGGCTAATTTCTTCTTTCAATATATCTCATTTGGTAACCATAGGCTAATTTATTCTGCCAAAATATCTTATTTAGTAATTATAGGCCAATTTCTTCTTTAGAAATACCTTCATTGGAATTTCGCTTCCTTAGGCCTGCAATAAATATGTCGGGGAAAAACCGTGGATGTGCGAATATATTGTTTCAGTTTCGGCCATTCTAAGAAATTTCTTACACCCAACTCGAACGCTTATTTACCAGTTAAAACTGGGTCAGGATGACCCACAAAAGTGCAAAAAAATGCATCGTTATAAGGACAAATGTTCGATCATTTGTCTGAGAGCAGCTGAGGGACTAATTCAACTAGAAAGATAATGGGAAACAAAATGAGAGGAAGTTTTATATGTTTTTATTGTGATAATAAATAGTGAAGCATGCAGCTCCTAGAGGGGCTTAAAGCGTGCATTTTGTACTAGAACAATAAATAGGCTGAGTGTGCACTCAAATAAATGGATGGGTCATTCTGTCCAAATACTGCCATTTTTTGTATGTAGCTAAACTGGGTTAGGATGACCCACACGAGAACAAGAAATGCGTGGCTAATTGACCGAAGTCTCACTAATTTTTCTGAGTATGGGCCTAGCTTATTACAAACCTAGCACCTAGGTAGGCAATTGAGAATAAATGTTATTATAACATAAAAAATAAATGTTGTGATAACATCAACTTATGTGTGCAGTTCTCGGGAGTTTGTTCAAATAAATTAACTTGTTCTTGGTGACTGAAATAGTTGTGACTATGTTATTAAAAATGAATGTTATTCTTTTGAAAGGATAAATTTTCTGTGCGGTTTTCAGGAGTTTGTATTAAATATGAATTTTATTGAATTTTTGGAATATTTGTTGCTGTGTTATTGAGAAGGAGTGATTTCTGCAGTTATCAACAGCTTATTGTAATGGGAATGTAAATTGATTATTAAAATAGTTCTGGACGTACTGAATCGTTGCAAACTTTCGTTGCGCATTTTTCATGTTTGAGTTTGAAGAATAAATTTAAAAGTAATGGGATTATTATAATGATGGGTTTGGAAAAGGTACTATAAATATTTCAACTTTTGCAACATTGCTGCAGTAATAATAAAGTTCTTCCGTCGTCAAGTCGGTCTGAAAATTGCATGAGGAAGCTCTTAAATAAATCGTTGTATTGTTTACAAACATTATCGTTGTGAAGGATATAATAAATTAGTCGTGGTAAATATTCTGAGACGCTCGATATTGGTTTTCATGCGGTGTGTTATTCAATATTTTTTTGTGTTTAAAATAAATATTGCAAAGACTTAAGGTCGATAATAACAAGATATAAACGGCCTCTTTGTTAGATCTTTATCCACCAAACTATCCTAGTGCTACTCAAAGCACTTCCATCAACTCTGTTTCAAGGGACATTTCTTCTGTGTTTTTTTCCGCATTTTGTTTTATCTTCTCGTACGGACGGGGTTTTTCTTGCAGCTGATCCTCGGATATTTCCCATGTTTTTTGATCTTCCTTTTCGTGCGCACGACTTTTTTCCTGCTGGGGGCCACCGACGTAGGCGCCGAGGCAGGGCAGTTTGTGGCAGGCGTTGCTGCCGGCGCTGCCCAGCGTTGCCGAGACGTCCTTACCAACGTCGCCGTCTCGGGCGAATCTAACGGAAAAAATATGCTCTTACCGATAGAGTCTACAGGAAAAAAAGAATCTACAGAAAAGAAAGAATCTGCAAAAACTACAGGAAAAAATCTACAGAAAAAAGAAATTACATGAAAAATAGAATCTACTGAAACGAAAACTACAGGAAAAAAAATCTACACGAAAAAATCTACAGGAAAAATGAATCTACAAGAAGACAAAATATAAGAGATAAAGCGCGCCATCCTGGAAAGAAATGATATGAGATAAGAGACCTAATACCTACAGAATTTACAGAGAAAAGAAGATAAGAAGTGGGCGGAGATTTTATACCGGAAGAATCCACAAGAATAAATATATTACAGGATCTGAGGATCACGCATTCCTGAGTGAATGTTGTGGGAAAAAAGAGACGTTATCCACAGAAACAGAATTTTCATAGAAGAAAAGTTATGAGATAAAGAACGACATTATCTCGAAAGAATCTGAACGCCGGAGATGAAATACGGAGAAAGGCGTTATCCTGAAAGATTCTACAGGAAGAAGGATAGATAAAAGGGTGAGAGATGCCATACTGAGAGATTCTAAAAAGATAGAAACATTGTTCTAAAGAAGATAAAAACGTAAGGTTCGAAAAATATAGAAACGTTAGGTTCTAAAGATGGAAACATTAGGTTCTAAAGATAGAAAAGTTCGGTTCTAAAGATAGAAACATTAGGTTCTAAAGATAGAAACATTAGGTTCTATACAGATAAAAACGTT